TATTTTTATATTGCCTGTACGCTCCGTCGTTGTCAGTTCGTTTGTATTCCTCCCAACAGTGCGTTTTGCGGCTTAGCAGGCGAAGGGTACGGTTCATGATTACTGTAGGTGGCTTGCAGCTTTTGGGAACTGTTTGAGGAACTGAATGGTTTGTAGCACGTAAGAGCGTGTGCAGTAAGAAGTCCCAATGACCGTCCACGTCGAGTTGGGGGTGAACATCCCAAACCACCTGTTGTAGATAGTCGTGTAGAGCTGGCACATTTGACCGTTTAAAATTCCAACGCAAGTTATTGGTGGGGTATCTTAGCTTAGTTTTGCTGACAAAACCGAAGGCTATGACGGCATGATCGCTTTTTCTCAGGGGAGCCAGGATTGAGAGGTTGTCAACTAGAAATTCTTCGTTTGTGGATACACAGTTTTAGCGCTATGGTGTCTGACTGTTTCTCCAACGAGTTGCCGACCTCACATTTTCGAACAATCCCAAGTCATCGATGAGGTTGAAGAACCGAGCTTCAATTGAGTTGTCGCCTCCAGTATACGTGTGTTCCGCGAAGTTGACTCTAGAGAGATTAAAATCCCCTAGAATCAGGATGTGTGTGAAATCGAGACGAGTAGAGCGGGATAGTCCTTCCAGCATACGACTATCGTACTCGATGTCGGCAGTTAGCCTTCTGTAAATGACTCCGACTAGTCACCTCGAAGTACTAGACAATCTTACAGAGCGCTATATGGATTCCTCAAGATTTTTAAACTCGAGGTTATGGACTTGGTGCACCTCCAAGGAAGAACGTATGTAAACGGCTACTCCGCCCCCAATTCCTGATTTTCTGTGGTTGCGGAACAAAGACATCTCAAGTAATGCTAACTCATGGTTCGAGAACTGAGATATCGAAGTTTCAGATATTCATATCAGATGGGCCTTATTAGCATTGCTAAGTTCACGTAGTTCATCCAATTTGTTTGGTAGACTCGCGGCGTTCATATATAAGCAGTTTTTGCTTTTAATTTGAAACGCATGAGCTTCTTCCTGTTTGTCTGTATGAGCCTTACGTGAATGGACAGGTAGCCCACCTATATGAGGTTTGCCGAGGTGGTAGGCCCTGTCCTTTACACGTTTTTTTATCGTCTAGACAGTCCACAAGTGGAATGATCAACTCCAACTTGCCTTTGTGTTTGGTCCTAGTTTCGTATGGCCTATCCGGGTGCATGTGGATTCCAGGTGGCAGTCAACGTCTGTTGGCACGAAATGCTTCCAGAGTTGAAGCCGCCATATGGGAAGATGGGAAGGTTATCTTCATTAGACGGGGTCTAAAATCACCATCCTTCTTGGATAGTCTCGTCACATGCTGAGTCAGTATGTGTTTGAGCCTCAAGGACTGTTTGATGAATTTCCATTCCCTGATGTCAGTTTTTGATTGAGTAGGGTCCGTATTTTCCGGTATACCTTGCACGATTATATTCCTCCTGCGGAAAAACTGATCGCGAGATTCTTTGAGGATTTTCCGGATGAGATTGCGCTCAGAATACGGTATGTCAGGTAGTATTCTTACATTTCCATCTGATTTCAGTAAATGACTCGCTAGTAAGACATCCTCTACGTCAGTAGCATTCTTAAGTGTTACACGAAGTAGACTCGGGTGACTTTGATGCTTAGATTCGTTTCCCCGAGTGAGCTGTGTGACTGACAAAGGCTCTATCCTTGGAAGTCCAAGTTTCTTGTTCAATTCTCCCCAGAGCATCCTATCATTTTTTCCTGCAAACTGAGAGGAAGGTCAGGATTGTCTTTGAAGTTCATGACTATGAGAGAGTCATCACGAACCGTTATTGTCGTCCCAGGTTTTCCAGTGCGTTCAGTTTTAGCACCATGTTGTCTGGGGGTGGAGGCACGTTTATGAATCCTTTGCTCTTTGATGACCGGACGGGCAATCTTGGGGGTAGACTGTGCGACCATATCACCAGTTGACTTCCGTTCAACAGCTGGGATGTTGAACTTAGACTGTGACGCCTGGACCTTTTTAGCTCTTTTGACATGGGTCCAATCATCTACAGATTTTTTGGGAACCACTGTCGCGTTCAAGGACCTTGAGCTGTGAGACCCAAGTTTGCTGATGGAGTCGAGTACCGTCGTCGTAATCATGGTGCTGAGGTTCAGCGTCTCATCGTTAACGCTGTTGCATGCTCCGTCGTCGGTAGACCTGTTGACATCTCTATTCTTGTTTTCAATGCGCTCTCTTGTTTGTCTACCCATTTTTGACTGTCTTTGCAGACAACTTACTCTGCAGACCTGTCAGTAGGACAATGATATTACTCAGCAAGACTGCAGCATCCGTGCTGCACGTAACACATTCTCACTTATGATCCGACTTGCTGAGTCTGTTGTAAGCAGTTGCTAGGGAATCTGTGCACGCTTCGTGGAACCAACCGTTGCAGTTGTCGCACTGCATGCCAGATGTGACAGCAAAACGGCATCCAAGTCGTTTGCATGAATTTTTCATGACTGTATTGACGTAAACTGTGTTGTAGATGCTAGCAAAAGCCTAAGACCTTAAAAAATACACTAAAAACACACACAAAAATGGATAAAACGGATGAGATAAACTGAACTAATCTTTACGTGAAAAAGTGAAAAAAACGGAATAGTAAGCTGAGGCAAAACCACAGTTAACTATTAAATTGGGTGAAACTAAAAAAAGTAATCTACCAAACGTTTAGCTCAGGATAGATTCTTTTGGACAGAAATGGTACTTTTGTTGCGTAAGAACACAGCAAAAGTTTAATAAATGCAAATCACGTTAGGACTAGACTTCCCGTTCGAAGGTAAACCAATCGATTGGAGACCGTCTGATACCTAGTCGTTTGAGCTTATTGATAAGACATATATGAACAACCTTATCAAGAGCTTTTGAGAAATCTAGGTAGATGATGTCAACCTTTCCCTTGCGATCGAGGATGCTTGTCCATATGTCCACCGCAGTCAGCAGGTTTCTTATACAAGAGTAGTCCTTCCTGAAACCATGCTGTTGGGGTGAGAAGAAATTTGTATCATTAAATATACGTAGGTTCCTACATGGAGGTATCGGTGAACAACTGCTACTAGATACGGCAGCTCATTAGGTGAAAGCTTCTTCTATTTCGTTCAGGACCATTTGAACTATTTGAAAAACACCTAAAGGCGCCGAACGACAACATTGTGACCTTCATTTAGCCGTAGCGAATGAGAAACTGGCCGGTGGGTTGTTTTGGTGTATTTTATGCTCACTTTCACTTTGATTAGACTTTTATCGTCCAAAATATTAGCATCCATATCTGTAATAACATTCCACGTACATGTAGAGGTAGAAGCAACACATTCACTCAGACTCTATGCATATATATATTTGTATACAATTCTCTGTGCTGGAATATCTTAACGTTCGTGTAATAACTTACTTAAAAGTGCTCAAACCCTGATATATTTCGTCTTTTTAATATAAGTGCGTATCTCTTCGCTTTCACTTGTATCTACAATTTTTCTGAATGGATGAACCCAAACTAAATGTAGTTTTTGCAATCTTCGTAAAGATTTGAAAAGCACTTTGCATTGAGCAAGGCAAGTGGCAAAACATTGGGATAGCACGCCAGTAGTTTCTGTGTTAGTATATCATTATCCCATGCTTTTAACCTCCATGCGGTGATTTAACATGATCCTGAACTGGCATAACACTGGTTGTAAACAAGATTTCTGTTCCACTTGGGGCACTTTTGTGCCTGAAGGACATTTAATCTTGTTGGCATAGCTTGGCTACTTGGCTGAGGTATATTTGTATCAGGCTCTACGTTGATTATGATCGCCTGAGTCTCTTTAATGACTCCCTATCATTTCAGTAGGTGGATGTGTATTTTATCATATGGATTTGCTACCTAAGGGCTGTCATAAAGTTAATAGGTGTAGGAAGATGTAAGACAATTTAAGTGTTCTGTATTCTCAATAGATCACTGGATTATTTCTATAATTACCCAACTTTTAAATTTATTCGAAACCCACTGGTTTATCCCAAGCTTTGTTTTTAATCGACTTCTGAAACTGCCGAAGTCCTGTCTTTTGAAAACCCCACTGATGGATATACACGTAGTATGGGATGGTGGAGATTTGTAGCTCAGGTCGGTTATTTTGATGGAGTTTTATTCTCTGAGCTGGATGGCTTGGTCGTGGAGCTTTCACCGTTCTTCTGAGTGACATCATCAGCACAAACTTCAGGTAGTTTTGTTGTCGTTCAGAAGGACGACGAGAGCTCCACGACCAAACCATCCAGCTCAGGGAACAAAACTCCATCACAAATAGCATGGGTCTTACTCATGATTCTTAAGACGCAAAGCTTGGCTGTGGCCAAATTTTAACTACTCTTAGTAAGACGGTGCGTAGCACCTGGCTTTATGTTTAGACTTACAGTAAGTTCGCTGCACTAACGGTCTGTTTCAGATTTAGTGCTGCAATTATAACTCAATAGACATCGATTTGGCACACAAACAATTAGATAAAAACCTTAATTTCGTCCTTGTCATATTCGCTAATTTCCAACATCTCTACTTATATCGTAAGCTGTATCCATATATCGTTGTCACTATATTTCTCATCAGTTTATCATGGGTAGATAGTTTTTTGGTGTGTTCGTTTGACAAGATTTATCCTCCCGATGGCTTTTATTTTCCAAAAGGTTATACAGCATAAATAATCAAAAATAACACTCAGTACAGCAGATGTCTTTTCTGTTCAAAATAGTGTACATTAACAGTAAAACATGCTGTCGTTCGTAAGTTTCTGACATGAAATTCCAACCCACTGTTTTAGGACCAAATTCTAGGGGGAAGGGCCTGGTCGATTTCCCGCTCTGTTCAAAGTAACGAATGTGTATCTTTGCATTAAAAATGGATATTCATAATACATAGTGATATTGCGTTCAAACAAAGACTCCTAAAATTCTCGCTTTCTTTAGTCTTAATACCTGGTCATCTGAGTAAGAATGTCTACAAAGGCTAGACGCCGTCTTATGAACGATTTCAAGAAAATTCAACTTGATCCCCCTCCTGGTGTATACGCTGTTCCACTTGATGACAACATAATGAAATGGCATGCAATTATTTTGGGGCCGGATGGCACAGCATTCGCAGACGGTATATTTCGGCTAACAATGGAGTTCACCGAGAACTATCCTAACGTCCCACCGATTGTGCGATTCGTTTCCAAAATGTTTCATCCTAATGTGTATAGTGATGGTAGTATATGTTTGGATATATTGCAAAACATGTGGTCTCCGTCATATAACATTGGAGCAATATTAACATCATTACAATCACTTTTGGGGGACCCGAACCCCAACTCTCCTGCAAATACGACAGCAGCAGAATTATTTGAAGAAGACAAACGCCAGTATGAAACACAAGTCCGAGCCATTGTTGAGGAATCGTGGCGAAACGATGAACCTGTTGATTGACTTAGTACTGTATTTGAGCACTTGATTTATGTACTTGTAAATAATATTAATTTCTGAAGTGTACCAGTTCTTATAACATAATGTATGAATAACATATTATCTAAGACGTAGTTTACGTACACTGCCATTTTTAATATGGCAATTTATGAAATCGCGTTTGGTTATTTCTCAAATATGACGACGGCCTGAGATCATTGCTTAGATTTACGTAATTACTAACTGAAATATGAAAGCAAGCACTAGTTCTGTTCAGCAGTCTTCGATTATTAATTCTCGTGTGCTAATAACAGAAAAATCAGCCCAACTAGCATAGTTTCAAAAATAATATCGCCTAGAATCAGACGATGTCTTAACAAAGCACAGAAGTCTGAGTTTGGACTTCCCAAAATGTTAATTGAATCTAGCCATTTGAACCACGAGTTAAGGACGGAATTTGTTCGTATATGACTTTGAAATAAAACCCTACCTGTCATCCATTAGTTCTACAGATTTAATCATTATAGTTAAGTATCATCATTAGTGTAAGATCTAGTCAGTACATACATCGAGTCACTCGGTCATATTTCTCTCTAGCACACGAGGAAGTCGAATTTATGATAGTATTCGTTGTGATAATGAACCAAACATCAAAAATTTCTATCTCAAAAAGAACCAATGAAACAGGAAGGTAAGAAATGAATTTATCACTCCACATGAAATGAAAGATATCAGAGTAGCCAGTAATAAGGCATTTCAACTGACTTAGTTGGTACAAAGTCTCAACCGACTCGCTAATTTTACTCAGTACACTCAGCTTGATCCCAACATTCTACTACGTGCGACCAATCCTTCGTAGACATCTGTAGCTGAACGTTACCAATTTAAAAATGTAATTGACCCTCATAAAATATGTTTCACAGACAAAACTAGGTATCTTGGCCTCAGGTTGATATAAATTCACCTAAACATGATAAGTCTTTTATCAAGTGCTAGACACAGTGGTGCTACATTTCAGACATTAGACTTACGCGTATTTCGTCGTAGGAACAGCGATGGTGCAGATATGCTATAATACTCACACGCTTCAGGTTTACGTAGGTTCTGATCAGTCAGCATCAAGCACATATATGCATCGGTCCCAGTTGTCATACCTCATTGACACAACAAGATGAACACCGAATTCATAGAATTAATTCAATGGTGGTAATGTATAAAAGAAAGATAGCATATAATGATATAGTACAGGAAGAAAGAATTAGTTGGTAGAAAGAAGGATATAACTAACTACTAATACATGTACAACTGACAATCAGATATATTTAAGAGTGAGGGGATTTAACACTATTAAATCCTCTAATAAATATTCGCGAATAAAAAGTAAACGGATATGCGGATTCCCCATACTTATGTCACTTCCACTCAACTCATTTGTTAAAAAATGAAATTGTTCAACTGAGTTGTGATAGATTCGATAAGAGCATGCAATCTTAACACTAACGTGATCCTGAGGGATTAAACCATGTTTGAACTGGTTGGGTTGGTACAATGTTTACCTCTAGTTAACGGTTGTGCACACTAAGAAGCGTTTTTTGACTCAGAAACTAATTTTACAGATCAGTCATTCTGACACCCGATTGCTCGAGTGAGGGATTATCATTTCACTGCAACACCAATATGTTCAGTAAAGTAAAATTTTTAGTTTACCGTTCATTTGTCATCACAAAAATTTCAAAACGACCCCAAAGCTGCACCTCGAGCTGAAGTAGCCCAGGTCGGTTAACGAGATATGTATCTACAATACATAAGTTGGAAAATAATCAATCAGGTTAAGTATCATTCCTAACTTTAAATTGCTCAATACGATATAACTGTCCTAACTAGATATTATTACTATATTCGAGTGACATAATAATAATCTCGGTGAGTTTGAAACTTCTCCCAACTCTTTTACCTAAAGTGTATATGGTGTAGTTCTACTTAAATACTAATCTTGATTTTTACTGTTTTCGGTCTATCAGCAAATCTGAAACGAGGGAGAGCAGTAGGCCCTGACAGGTTTACTCCTGAGATTTTTAAGGATGGTGGTCCAGTATTAGCAATGAGATTAACCGAGGTCTTAGGTAGAATTTGGGAACTGGACGTAATCCCATCTGACTGGTCTCAATCACTGATTGTGCCAGTCTATAAGAAAGGACAAAAGTCCTCTTGTGACAATCACAGAGGAATCAGTTTGACCAATATAGTGTCTAAAATATTAGCTCCAATAATACTTCGACGCTTAATCAAAGCTCGTGAAGAGCATATTAGAGAAAACCAGGCCGGTTTTCGACCTGGACGTGGTTGTATAGATCAGATATTCACACTACGTCAGGTTCTAGAACACAGACACACACAATGGTAGTATTTCTCGACCTTAAGGCGGCATTCGACTCTATTGATCGTGAGGTTCTATGGCAGTGTTTGTCACTGAAAGGAGTACCAAAGAAGTACATTAACCTTATAAAGGCTCTCTACTCGAACACAACTGGTAGAGTGAGAGCTTATGGCGAACTGTCATCAGAATTGATTACCTCAAGTGGTGTTTGTCAGGGCTGTCCACTCTCTCCATTCTTGTTCAACTTTGTGGTCGACGTACTTTTAGAGATAACACTCTCCTCATCTAAATTTCCAGGGGTTGAACTTCTACCGGGAGGTTCACTTGTTGACTTAGAATATGCAGATGACATAGTTTTATTTGGTGAAGACGCTGACAAAATGCAGTCTTCTGACCACTCTAAGCAACAATGCAAGCATGTTCGGGATGCGATTCTCTCCCTCGAAATGCAAAATGTTGCTTCAGGATTGGATTGCATCGACACCCGAACTAGTGATAGGGAGTGAAGTAGTTGAGTGTGTCGACCGCTTCACTTATCTTGGAAGTCTCATCAGCCCTTGTGGTTTAGTGTGTGACGAAATCTCAGCACGGATACAGAAAGCTCGACTAGCTTTTGCCAACTTGCGTCATTTATGGCGTAGGCGAGATATCCGTCTATCAACCAAAGGACGTGTTTACTGCGTAGCAGTTCGTTCCGTCCTACTTTATGGCAGTGAAACATGGCCGGTAAGAGTAGAGGATATTCGTAGGCTACTAGTATTTGATCATAGGTGTCTTCGAAACATTGCTCGTATATCATGGGACCATCGAGTAAGTAACACAGTTGTTAGGAAACGGGTACTAGGTAAGGATGGCAAATCAATTGATGAAGCAGTGAAACTTCATCAGTTGAGATGGCTGGGACACGTGTTACGTATGCCCAACGACCGACTGCCTCGACGTGCTATGTTCAGTGGTATAGGAGTAGGTTGGAAGAAAGCTAGGGGTGGCCAAACCAAAACATGGCACAAGTTCATGAAGTCACTGACAAGTGAACTGAGTCATGTTGGTAGGTGTAGACTACCTGGTTGGGGACCGCGAGATGATAGCAACCGATGGTTAGAGACCCTGAATGACATGGCTCAAAATCGTTTGCAATGGCGCAGGTGCATCCACTCTCTGTGTTCTCCCAAATTCTAATCTTCTGAATTCTTCATGTCTCTTTTTTCCTCTTTCCAAATTTATTTCACTGGATTATACTCTTTAAATAACATTTCCAAACACTAATCTTCCCGATTACTGCTTATACTCTTATTACCTCTACCACTACGGGATTTGAATCGACCACTGCATCTCTGTGCTAATGTGGTGTGGCAAATCGAACTGATGTACGTACGTACGAAGTTCTACGTTGTTACTGACTGACTGATCTGTTCGATATTTCTATCAGTTACGTTCTTTGATATAAATGATTAAGGGCGGAATTTTCAACAATTTTTTTTGCCAATCGCATAGTCTCAAATAAAGTAGAGGCAATTTTCATTTTTAACATCCTTAAATCAATTTTCTTGTCATCGTACGATTAAGAAGTATTTCTAGGAGTAACCGTCCGATTCGGTCATTCTAACTACTATATTAAAGATTAAGTTGTCGGTTGGCGACATACCTTAGGCTTAGGAAATAATTGATAATACTCTTTTGATTGGTGTCAGCTACGCTGATAACAAAACGATTATATAGACTAACATATATAAGCGAACAATATTGTTTTCAATTAGATCCGCATAAGGCTTTACCCCAATATACAGTAGTGTTCATATGCATATACGAAATTATTAAACCAATCAAGACGGTTTATGAGTCAATGGTAACAGTGGAATAGACTACGTACATAAACATGATAAGTAAAGAGTACAAATTGGTAGTGTAATGACAGGTTACTAGTTGTGATAAGAATAACAAACTCTTAAATTCATGTTTCATAATGGGAAATAGGTCAATGGCTTGAAAAAATAAAAATGCTGAAATAGCATCCACAAATACTAAGACTACGTAATGAGAACTGTTTAGATGATTGAACGACGAAGCGTGTATTTGGAAAAAAGAGTGGAAGGAGGTGCAGAAAAACAAACGAGTATGGGAAGTAATAATAAATAAGTCTTATTAAGGCTAATTTGGTGTCAAGGGAGAGATGTTACAAATTTCTTATGAATACTATGAGTTGGATTGTTAGCTTGGATTTCTATAGCTACTGCTACATGTAAAAGACAAGATCAAACTACATAAGGAAAACTAGTAGGAATACGATAAATAGCTTTGAATGACCTATTTCTGTTTATTCTTATCACAACTAGTAACCTGTCATTACACTACCAATTTGTACTCTTTACTTATCATGTTTATTTACGTAGTCTATTCCACTGTTACCATTGACTCATAAACCGTCTTGATTGGTTTAATAATTTCGTATATGCATATGAACATTACTGTATATTGGGGTAAAGCCTTATGAGGATCTAATTGAAAACAATATTGTTCGCTTATATATGTTGGTCTAATTCACAACATGGGAATTTTTAAGACTATATAGACCACCACGAAGTCAGGTAATGTCAAATAATGCAAAACCATATAAAATCGAAAGATATTTTGATATGATACAATGATGAGAAACTAATAAACTCAGAATTAAAGTAATCAGGATTTATCAGATGGGGCTTTGACTTATTAACATTCGAGTTAACGAGAAAGTAGTTGGCGGTCAAAAGTATACGGGAAGAATCACAGTTCATTAACTTTAAAGGACTGTCAAACGGCGGGATGTTACTTCATGAATTAGGTGGATCTTTGCTGACGGGAAAGATACAGCTGACGCGCATGGTTCAAAAGAGCTTCACGACGTTCACTAAGGCTCAATTGACGTGAACTAGAGTTTGATAGGAACTGTGGAGCAGCAACTGTGAACCTGCTGGGAGACATAGCAGACACAGTGGGGTCGCCCTGATTACTGTCTCGTTGAGTATCCGAGTCATGTGGATTTTCCAAAAGGTAATCAATAGCTGATTCAACGTCACCTTGAGTATTCACTAAACAAAAAATGTATCAATTGCGGATATAATATTTACACTGGGTTAAAAAAAACGTGATATTTTTAAGGTAGAAACAAAAAACCATATACAAAATGAAGGTTACGTACATTGACTTCCCATTTTTATCATACAAAAATATTGAACCAACTTAAAATTCATTGACATATGACAGATTTTCCTCTACATCAGAATAAGTCGTTCAGCAATCAAAAGGTGTAGATTACATTATGTCAAGATAATTTATCATGTTCCTACTTTAACATCAGTATGATTTTACTTTTGTAACAAAAATATGAATCACCAGCTACATATAATGAAATACGTTCAGTAAGTATCTTATTCTCTAGGACATGATAATCAGTACTGTGGTTGGTTTCCCTAGTATTCCTCAGCATAATTTTGTTAGTGCTAAATAGTTTTGAATGCAACTGACTGAAACTCCCTCAAAAACCTACGAGACTGTAACAATTATGACAATATCTGGCAATTACAATATTTGCGTAATAACCTTAAAACCTCTGTGTGATCTTTTTCGATAGGCTTTTAAAATTCTGAATTTCTGAGACTGACAGTAAAACTTTAGTATCTAAGCTACGATATATCCTAAGAGCCCATACACTTTTCTTGTCTCAAAGTTGACTCAGTTTCGCAGTAGAAATGAATCAATTCTGCGTGCCTAAGTGAAGAATGCAATATACTGAGTTCAAACACTTATCCCCAGGTAACCACACTTGAGAAGTAAATTTCAGGCCATTGTCCAATAATTTGGTATGTGGTGTAAAGAACAGATTGTTATTGGGTCTCAGTAAGAACGTATCTGATTTTCATATCGGACACTGCTAACAGTTATCTTACAAGCATCTCAAAGAAATACTACTAGTGTTTTATTATACCAAAACGAGTGTAAAACCGTGTACGTATGGATAGTTGCTTTACACATCAAAAGCCTAGAAATTAGATTACAAGCAGAATTATAGTTCCTACCTAACTAAGATCAGTGTTACACTAAATATAAAACCTTACCAAGAGCTTCACGGATCCGAAACGCCGGTATGTCACGAAGTATTTCACTGATTCGAGGTACTAGATGTTCGAAAGTGAAGCATGAGTAGGTCTCGGAGGCTTTATGATTGGGCTGAATACAGTGGCGAAGACGAACTCCATCAGAATCGAGTATGTTTGAAATTAAAGAATCGCTTGATGAACTCGTAGAATGCTTTCTAGACAAAGGGGAACTGGGTGGCGTTGCGGATAAACTAGACATAGTACAAGATCGCGCATTATGGATAGAAAGCGAAGTAATGGGTGATTCCGCTCCAGTGTACTAGAAGTAAAAAGTAATTTAGGGGAGAACTATCTTATAGGAAAATGATTTGATAAAAACAATTGTATCCGGAAAGAGATTTCGGACCATAACCAATATGATAATTTAGATTAACCAATTAGGCTACACAATTTGGAAAGTCGCGTAATACATTCTGGAATGTCAACAAGTCTTGCGACTTGATTAAGATAATTTTTCAAACACATAACTTAGTTGTTTGCACCAACTTACACTATGTATTTCGGATCATTTTTTAACTGTTTAGTTATTTTAAACACGACTCGAGGATGGTGCATCACGGCTTGAATCTATTTTTATGTAATGAGATTTAAGAAATTAAGTTGATGAAACTGTTAGTTTATATATATAAAGGAAAAAAATGTGATGAAAACTTACAAATCATACTTATCATTATTCTACTGATGTTTTTGTCCAAAGTTCAACAAGCTGTAGGACAGAACATGCTTTTTAATTTTATTGGGGTACTGGAAATGATCTCCAAGTATAAGCTACGTCACCTAAGTATTTTAGTAGAAAGCATCAATTTAGGGACACTATCTTAGCTTTCAACGATAAATCACTAGACTAACGGAACATATACACGTTCATATACTCAGTTATGGAGTCACCCTTGTTGTTTGAGGATCACTGACATCCGACTGCTAAAACATTAGAACTATCACACACAACTTATTCGTTCTAATAGTTGAGATCATGAGTCAATTGAAGGTAGACCACCATGGAAAACCTGGAAGCACTGGACGGCCGTTTCGTCCTAGTATGGGACTCCTCAGCAGTGCGCATTCATGACCCCGCCTTGCGGGTATCGAACCCAGGACCTATCAGTTTTGCGCACGAGCGCTTAACCATTTGACCACTGAGCCGGCATCCAACGGTGATGTATAACTTCGACTAACCCACGAAATTGAGCGACACAACCACCATTGTCATCAGTGAGTTACTACCTCACAACAGACCCGGTTGAACTCCACCGGTCACTGCTTCTAACTAGAACTCCAGGATATACCTCTCGAAGCCAGTCACTAGTGAGTATATGTTGATTAGTATCAGAAGAGGTTTTATGGAGATTGTAGTAATCTCAATAGTTGAGATCATGAGTCAATTGAAGCTAGAATGTGCAAACCAGGTCACATAGAACTGCTAGATGATCCACGGTACGACTGCTCCGCATATTTTTTAACCACATACCTAAGTGCTTTACAGGCATATATGCAAACCAAACACTGATTAAACTGTCCTAGATAGATGAATACATATTTCAGAGAATAGTATTTGAACTAATTAATGAATACAGAAATATACTGCAAAGAATGATTACTACGTTAAAATGTCACATAAAGAAAAACATACATAGTTCTAAATGCATAAGTAATTCGTGTTTGTCTATCAAGCGACGTAAGAGGAGCTGAAATATTCGTGTGTGCACTTGGAAGTCCGAATGATTATGTCTACAACTAAACTTATACGTAATAAATTGTCAATAATTACAGGAGATAAACTCTTGTTATTAACTGTGCAAAATGTGTACACTTAGAACCTGAAATTATTTTAACACTCACATCTGCCAGATGTTCAGCATTTATTGGGCTGAGTGTAGCTCCAAGGGAGTAAGCAATAGCAGAACGAACCCTTTCACAGAAATCCTCATCTGTTTCATTAGACATCCGACTAATTGGAGTTAAATATTTGACATGATAATATGTAAAAGGAGTGAAGAACTGCCACAAAAGCTCCATAAACCAAAAAACAGGATGAACCACCTACAATAAATTTATGTATTGGTATAAATGAAGCACAGCATGCTTGAATACTAACGAGCAATATTTTAAAATCTGTTTCGTAGTCGTAAGCTTCTTTGAAAAGAAACTGCATAAAGACCGAATATCAAATAGCCAAACTTACCTTGGAAAAACGAGATAGGTCATCATAATAAAGTAAACAGGTACGAACAATAACCCAGTGGTGAAGTATGATAGATTACTTTAGATTAAAAACAAGCAATATTTGTTCGAAAAATTCCAATAAACGCAAACAATGTGTTGCAATTTTTAGCACGTAAGAGTGATAAACGCCATTCAAAAAAAGACTATGCGAAATCATTTTGGAATGACAGACATCTTAGAAACGGTGACTATTTGCCTATACGTTGGATGAAACTAAAAGCTCAAGAAAGTTCTTATCTTTGGCTGACGATTCTAAACACAACTTAAATAAGTAAAGAAAAAAGTTAGTTAATGAACTGAGATATCAAACAAAACAAGGATGACAAAAACTTAGTTGATTGCTGAAAAAACAACAGAGTAACTTAGATTGGGATCTGGGTTTAGCACTAGTTTAGGCTGTTTCCAAAAAGGTTTCTAAGAACCTTATATCCTTGAACAAACCACAAGCCAGACATCAATGCAATGACACTATTTGTTTATACATTGTAATCAATCAATTAATGTTTCCAATAAAAGGCTTTATCACGAGACGTTAAAGTAACACTGAAAGCATTTCTTTGGTAAACAAGTGGTACAGTTTGATATCCTTGATACGTAACACTCATTGAAATAAATGTTGCAGTTCAGGGTGCAAACAATTATTGGGGCGAGTAAGTAGTTTGATCCACTGAGAAGAAACGGATCGGCATTACTAGTGGCATCCGATAAGCTACACATTGTAGTGTGAGGCACCACTTTCAAACTAAAGAATAAGAACCATAATCAATGCTCCTATGCATGCATTAGAGACTCTGTTGAGTTGTCGAAACCCCACCACTAGCTTCTTTTCGAACCGCAAGTGTTTTTTCTAATTTCTTACCGACCATAAGTGACAGAGGGTAAGTGATCATCTAACTGTGATTTTCGTAGATTTATATCCTTACGCAATACGAAACATTTGACAAAGTGATATCTCACTTTTCGACTTCACCTGAGACAACCAAAAACTTAAACTATAACTGACGGAAAATTTTCTGTGAAAGCAGATAATTAGTGTAACTTTTGTTTGCATAAATGACATGTCGTTAATCGAGTTTTTTAGGCGTTCAACACCTTGTAGCTGTTATTAACTGTTGGTTTTCTCCACAATGAAGGCCGTCTGTCAGTTAATCATCAATAACGCAGGACAGAGTACAAATCTCCGTTGTTGTCGTGCTACACCACCGTTGTTAGATGAAATTAACGAAATTAATACCATAACAGAAAGAATAGAATTAGTGTAAACAATAAAGAAATTGGGCATACGAAATATCGTTCGACAATGAAGTCAATATGCTACTTATAATGCAGTGAATCAATGCATTGCTTAAGTCAAGAAAGCCCAGTAAGAATGCATCCTTTATAACTGCTTTCACTATGTCTTGCTTTTTATGAATTAAGATTCTTGAAAATATCCACGTACTTAGATGTTAACTCATAAAATACGGATACTTTTTACTTTATTCGCTCGTGTTTACTATTACAAATCAAAAGTACGAAAGATCTAAATAGTCAACCAGCCTAATAGACTATACATATGCCATATATTGGCTGACCACATTTGTATGGTGACTTTAATCTTTAAAAAATGAAAGTGAAACATCAAGTGTCAGTTTGCTTAACAAACAAACTACTAATCTAGTGTTGTGTAAAGAGTTTAACCCAAAGTTATTAGAAAAATTACCAGTCTAGTAACAAGTCTCAGTGAGTAACTATACAGACTAAAATGACGTGTACATGGGGTTTTATTGATACTAACTCTCAAAGCAGGAGGAAATATAATACTCTAATGCTTTATTTAACCATATAAACAAAAAAGGTCACCAAACATCCCTATTTACAAAGTTAACTCACTCATTAAAAAGTCGAATTATGCAAAACCTGATGAGTAAGCAAATACTATAGCCCTGACTCCTCGTGACTTAGTATAAATGAAGGGTACAATGTAACTAATACGTAATACAAAACTTGTTGTGTGATAAGTGTTAAAACCTGATATGCCACTGAGAAATTAACTGATTAAGTGCTTCTGAAAAACTATGTAAGTGAAGTATAAGTATAATACTTTTCAGTATAGACGTGATTTGAGAAACTAATTCTGTTTGTGAATGCATATTTACCCAACATCATTTTCTTTAACTTCTAATCATCTGCCTTCATTTGCAAATATTAATTTGACTTATTACATTATTTGAGAACTAATTCACTGTAGTAAGGCTATTCATAATCCGCTGACTTATAAATCAAAATTTTAATCATCACATCTTACGCAATTAAATATCACATAACCGTGAATGATCATAAGTTAAAAATTACTCGAAAAAATTGACGGAATGGTGAATATAACCAAATGAAAACAGTTGACTTACTAATTTAATAGGAAAGATTCGATTAACCTTAAGCGCCACCTAAAGAAAATATTAGGTATCGTAAATGCTGTCACTTACAGGTTGTACTTTATCCACTGAACCAAACATTTTGTGATCAAACTTGAAAAGGCAATCAGAAGAACCAGACGGTGCTTTTTCAGGAAGTAGATGAACAGGTTGATGATTGTCTAGAAAAATACTTAGCATAATGCGGACTCACCTCGTGCACACCGAAGGACGAATTCAGGAACGGAACGAGTCTTTTCTTTGTTATGTGGAATTGACTTCCAATGGAAGACATGTGTATTCGGCTGTTGATTATTAATAATTAAAAAATCAGTCCTCATTGCATGCACACGTCAAGTATGGACAAGTTCATAAGTTCCAAAAAACACACTAACGGATGAAAGAACATCTTACACGGTGGGATTTCAAAAGAAGAGTTCAGCGTTTGTGAGTTAAACTCACGAGAGAGCTAACTATACAGAAGTCGACTTACAGGTTTATTTACAAACTAAAAAAATTCAGAGGATGATTATTATATATGCTGTGTCGGCCTATACTACTCGTGAAATTAATGTATGCTTCCAAAGCAAATTGACGAATGCTGACCGACTGTATGTAGGAGACTCCGTTTCAATACTTGGTACTTACCCAGAAAGTTGAATTAATGGCTAGAAATGTGAATGCTATTAGTTTTTTTTAAAGACTACAGATACACAATGGGACGGTTTCTTTGTTTGAACTTGGTTCCTCCTATGTTTTGCAGCACGAAAACCTACTATATAATTAAACTACAACGATTCAATAGAAATGGGGATAGTGGTCAACTCTAAAAATAAGGTTTAAGAGTTCTAATGGCACACCATCATAATTATATTTATTATTGATTTTAACAGATATTGGTACAAGGAGGCACCAAATACATATGCGCCACGCGAATCTTATTCGATATGTGTGGGGGCTGTGATACTGCCCGGGTGCGCAAACCGGAGCAGGTGGTTTTCTTAAGGGGCCACTTCCCGTAAGCTTTAATTTGACCAAGTGTTCGAGCAGACCTTCTGTGGTAAGCTTTTCATAATATAACATCACAGTAACGCTCGGTCAATGAAGTTGAACATTCTTTTAAGACCACAAAATGCAATTATTACCGGGTGTTAGTAAATATGACTTAGGTGCTACTTTTGGACCGACTCCCGTAAGTGATTGGGATTAAACTTATATTATCTAATAGTTATGTTAGAACCTGTACATGTTACAAATGTGATAAAAACAGTAGGAAAACTTACTGTGATACAATCCTCGGATAGACACAGTACCAAGTGGTCAAACAAAGTAACATAATTGGATACAAAAGGCATACATGTGTTTCGATCGGTACGAAGATCTGAATCGATATATACAACTAAACCCAGAACAGTGCACATAGAGCGCAGCACGAATCTGAATATAGAGTTCAGTACCGATATAACCAACCTTCGAAGGGATTCGAACTGAGATAGCACCCATGAAGCTAGGAACGCGTGCAGAAATATTACCAGACGCAAAATCACAATTACTAGTCCCAAAGGGGTATATGGGAGTACAAAGAGACCATACGGGAGGATAATTCTAACAGGATTAGAACAACAGGTTCTCAGTTACCTCATTCTAATCTGACTTAGTTGAATTCTTATCCGGTAAGAACGGGATGAGATAGATACACAAACAGAACGTCTGTTACGATCATACATAGTTTGTACTGGAAACTTACCGTTATACAGAAAATTTAACAGACGTATTCAGTATCTTTCAAACCCTAATAATACGCTTTTATGTCTGAATGAATCAGGACGCATTAACAACTGCGCAAAACCGTAGTGCCCAAAGTGACCTAGAGAATTCTAGGATGACCTCTGCAACAGTGATCCAATTTCCAATCTATCTTTGTAAAGCGATTGTTCGAACTGTTTTATCATTTTGAGCCTAAGTCCTGGTATTAGACGACAAATCCACACCATTAGCATTTATTTGCGATAATAATACTGAATTCTTCGGGGAGAGCACTCTGTGGTGGTCTACTCCACTTCCGATGGGACACTAAAACGTAGTCTTTTGAACAAAGGCGCATGATGGATACCAAATGCTTGCTTTCGGTCTGTCTTCAGTCTTCAGTAATAAGGATTGGAGGTCTATCGACCTATATTAATTCTTGCAGTTTGTAATACTGTGGAGGTCTATTCTCGTTTTGAATATATTAACGGAAGGGGCTGATATAACGTGTTCCGGTAGAAGAGAAGAGGACTGAGGATTGTACTTTGGGGAACTCCACTTTTTACAGGTACCCACGAGGAGAGAGCCCCATTAACCCCTACCCTTTGTCTCCCGTCATGGAGGAAGTTACTTACCCAATCTACAACTGCGTGAGGATTCCAAAACGTTCCAGTTTGAATCTAAGACCAGAGTGGGAAACCTTATCGAAAGTCTTACTTAGATCTATGAAGATCACATGCACAGGAATATTTCGATATTTTGCAGCAGCCAAAACTTTTTTTGCACTGAGAAAATTCGTCAAGAATGATAGGCCTCTCCGAAAACCTTGTTTTTCACTGGAGAAAAGATTTTGCCCTTCAACATAGTTTATAACAGCTATCCGAATGATTTTTTCCATCATTTTTACAACTGCACTAGTTAAGCTAACGGGTCTATAGTTACTAACTAGATCACTACTCCCAGCCTTATACACCGGACTTATTTTCGCTACTTTCCAGTCTCTAGGAAGTCTGGACTGTCTCAGAGACATGTCAAATAGTATCGCTAATGGTTCAGCAATTTCATCTGATATGGCTTTCGTAATCCCAGGATGAATGTCATCAGGACCACTGGACTTATCAGGTTTGAGATGCTGAAGTAGCCTTAGAACAGTACCTTTCTCAATGACTACAGGATCCATCAGCGAGCCGCCGCGACCACAGTGAATCGTTGGTCGTTCCTCATTATCGATAGAAAACACTTTACTAAAATATTACGATAAAGCTTCAGCTTTTTCGGTATCATTTTCTGCCAAGATTAACGGATTTTCTAATGATAGAATTCCATCGCTTCTCTTAGTTCGCCTTTTTATATACGAGAATAACTGTTTCGGACTATATCGAGAATTCGTAACCAATTATTTTTCATATGATCGCCTAGTCTTATTTATTAACGCTTCACAGGCATTCCTAGTCTTACAATAACTGGATTTTTATTGTTCTAAGCCAGTAGAGATGAACATATTCCAGTGATTCTTCCTTCTTCTAATAAGTTTCCTGACTGTTTTAGTCATCCATGGTGAACTGTTATTTGGTCTACGCGGTACCAGGTATGGGATGAACGAGGACGTAACTAGTCTAAACGTACCTTTAAATCCAGGCCATGCTTCTTCAACCGATAAGCTAGTATCTACAATTCCATCTGTCTTAGCAGCGCATTGATGAATGGCTGATATGTTAGCTTTCCATAAATTTGGACGGGGTGTAATCTGATAGTATAACATGTCGCTAGTTCTAAAAGTGGATGACAAAACAGCGTGATCGCTGTTCACTAACGGTGGGAGAATATTTAAGTCGACAATATCCTCAGTCTCATGAGTGGTTACCAATTCCAACAGAGAATAACCTTGGTTTGTACCAAAACGTGTGGGTTTGGATACATGCTGCACTAATGCATGCTCCATTATTGTTGTCGGGAACCTACTATCAAAGGAGTTTATAGATCCTTCCGTGGTCAACTCAGTCCAACTAATATCAGATGCATTAAAGTCTCCTATTATCAAGCATCTGGTATTTTCACTCCAAAGATGAATGTGCTCTAAAATAAAGTCATCAGCTAAGCAGATTGGGCTGCGATAGATGACACCTAGCATAAATGTACTACATCCTATAGCCAACTTACAGCTAATGACTTCACAGGTGCCGCTATCATGGGATTCGCTAGTGGAGGAGCGGATATTTATATTACTGGCTATCTATAACAGGACGCCATCTCCTTTTCTGCATCTGTGTCCATCACTCCTGAAGTAGTGGTATCCGGATAGTTCTGGAGTTCATAGAACTTATTTCTTAGACTACGAGCGTTAGCATATAAAACTCCTAAGTAGAACAGTCTATCCACACAGGCCTTGGTAGCATTCGCTTCCAAGACCTGACTATCCGAAAACCCACTAGCCGGAGATTTTTCTCACCATTTTGTTGACGGGTTTCTAGTTCAGATAGTGCCTTCTTCCTTTTTATTCTATCTTCGAGAGATATGTCAGGTCTAACTCGGATGTCGGAATTGTCGTGACAACGAGCACTACTTAACAGGAGATCCTGTTGCTTCTCCGGTCCTAGGATTACCTTAAGGAGTCTGCATGGACGGGGTCCAACATTGTCCTCGATCCTCTTGCCTATTCTTACCAATTTTTCGACCTGAACTCCCTTGGAGTTATCTGGTAAGATACTACGAATATATTCTCCCAGCTTCTCTATATAATCATGTGTGTTTAATTTTGTGATCAGGGTCGTTTGACTCCAGCAATTTGCTAACAGTAATATTCGATGATATCAGATTCTTCTTCTCAGCCACGCCAGGGTGGGTTTCTCTCTTACTTTCAGATTTTGGTAGTGCATTTTGTGACTCACAAAAGGAGTCCACCAATGACTTGCTAACCACCTACAGCGTTTTCATTTTCGTTTCGTTTTCTCCATACTGTGGTCCATTTTTCATCCCTCAGGACACTGGGACTGTTTGGAACGGTGACTGTTTTATCCAAATCTTCAGTTTCCACCAGTTGTGCATGGTTACTAATGTCAGTGTCAGATGGTACTACCCTCCGTCGTTAATGTTAACGAAGATTTCACTTTTCCGTCAGTCAAAGTCGGTTGTTTGAGTCGTCGCGTAACAGTAGGTAGTACGCTGACACATTTGTCACTGTCGGTGCTCGTGTTATCAGCACATGTGCCATCGTTCTTCTTACAGGCCAAAGCCAATAGGCTCATAGCCTCCTGTATTAGTAACGTCTTATCTGCACATCGAAACATGCGAAGCCAATGTGAGTTAGGCTTGGAACATCTTTTATATGCAGTGGGACTTAAACGGGTGCACATTTTGTGGAACCACTTACTGCATTCATCACACTGCATTCCCTCCTCCACAGGAAACAAACAGTTTGGTTGTCCAGATTTGTGAGTACTACCAACCATTTTAGTCTGATCAAGGTGTAGCACACAATATGATCACAGTATGAACACAAATGTCAGTCAACGAATAAAAGGTTACCACAAGACAAACTTTAGCAATATTTCAAACCTTAACTAAAGTACTTTGATACAGACCAAGAATGCTTTCGAATGTAATAAATACACAAAAGCCAAAAAACTCAATAGAATATCACTTTAACTGTAGTAGATTCAATTAAAGTGTAAATCGTAGTTTTGATAGGTAATTTACGATCAAAACAGTTAACTAATTCAACGAGAAACAATACCACTGTCCTTTTTAGATAGCGCGCGTCGATCGACGTCAGAAGTTTCATAGCTGTGCCCTCAGAGTAAATTTCTGAAGAAGAAAAATAGCGAAACAGAAGAGTAGCAAGGCACTTGGATATGAACGCCAAACGTTGCTTAACATTGTGTAGTAGAACGAACAGACGTATAATAAATTAGAATAAATTCATATTATCTCTTGTTAGAGTGAAATGAAGTCAGAGGCTCCATATTATAGAATGTAGTAATAAAGAACAATGAGTTTTGTCGTTTAACAAGTTGGAGTAAGCTCACATGAAGGAAAGAAAGTCAAGGCTGGTACAAGGAAAGCGGTTTATTAGAAGAGAGTGTGCATATAGAGGGTGAAGTGTTAAGAATACTAATGACTATATCTTTTGCTGTCTATTATTTTCCTTTTTTGTCTATCCGATGCCAGCCGCACAATCCTAGTGTAAAAGTCCGAGTTAGCATGTTATAGGTTGTCTTAGTAGAATAGCCAATCCAGCATAGTATTGGAAACGTGAGTCTGAGTGGTGAGCGTAGGAAAACAATCATAAAGAGCCTGATATATACAAAATGTTCTGCCCCCACAAACTCGGCTGGATTGAAGTTATCGCCCTCGCCATCAATGCTTGCTGGTCAGTAACTCCACCCTCCTTCCTTTTGTGATGCTAGGCTCATTTAAGCTTATTTTTGTATATATGTCATACCTCAAGCAATCCTCTGTGTTTCACATCCTGTTGGAAAGCACTATTTTTATAAGTATCATTTTACAAGCTTATCAGGCAGTTACAAGCTATGGACTGTGGGTGAGGCATCGATGCAGTGCTTTTGTTGACTATAGTATAAAGTATAGTTTGCCAATCAGAGTATAAGCATTAAGAAGGGTATAATGTAGGATGGTTGTTTATTAAAGCAAGCGGAAAAGTATAGAAGTATATGAGTTGTGGATAAGGTAACGAGTGGAGAAATATTAATTTCCAGTCAACATAATGTGCGGAAGAGTAAAAAGTTAATACAGGATAAACAGTAAGAAACTCACAGTAACATGGTGCTGATGTTATTTTGTGTTGTCCTAACCAGTTGATTGGTAACAGGATCTATAGATGCAAGACCACTGGTAGTAGGCAGTCGATTGTGCGGTCCTCTTGACTTTCTGAGGGTGGTAGTGAGTGTTCCTTAGCGACCGAGTTTAGTTGGACAGTATCGATAAGTCCAACGAGTTACCTATCTACTTCAAGTGAAGAAGTAGGGTGGAAAAATGGACTAATACAACTGAAAAGCAGGAAAAATAAGGCAAACTGAAATTGAAGACCATTTTGGTTTAGACATGGAGAGAGCCTATGATGTCTGAGTGGGGCGAAGATGTGTTCGTACGTGCAAGATCAGTGCAAGTGAGGGCTTGATCAAGCAGTTTTACAAACGTATGTAATTCATCTGCCATTCGAATTTCCTTAAGTGTGGAGAATGCTTTCTTCACGCTGTCGTTTAAATTGGTGATTTGTTCATTTCTACGAAGGTGGTCCGCTGGACGTCCCATGACATACATAACATTCATAAACCGTCGATAGAAACCTACCAGGCCACCGAACGTACGAAACTGCTTGGCTACCGTCGGTTCTTGTTAAGCCAGAATGGCCGCCGTTTTAATTTTCAGGGGCGGATGCCATGAATATCAGTAGCGTGTCTAAGAAAATATAGGTAGTCGGTGCCAACTTGACATTCCTGAGTGTCCACAGTAATGCTGTCCTTTGCAGTCGTTCAGAAACAAGGTCCAAGTGTTGAAGATGAGATTCTCTGTTCAGACGTGCAATAGAGCACTCATCCATGTATGCATATACGAGATTGAGACCTGAAAAGTTTGTGCGGCATTTCTCAAACCGAAAGGTATGCGCAAATATTTGTACAGTCTGAAGGGGGTGACGATAGAGATTTCGGGAATGTAGTTAGCAGCCATGGTAATTTTCTTATACGCTTTAACCAGGTCGGTTTTTGAAAAGACAGTTGCATCTTACAAGGTAGCCCTCAAATCGTGCATGTGAAGCAACTGGTACCGATCAGGAATGGTTTTCGCATCCAGTTACCGAGAGTCATCGATCGGACACCAATCGTTGCTGTCCATTTTACGGACCATTGTAAGGGAGATGCCCATGAGCCGTTCAATGGCCGACTGATTCCTAAGTTTTTCATATGGTGAAACTCGACTTTGGCCAACCTTAGTTTTTCGGGAGCTATTCGGTGCGATTTCGCGAATACAAGTGTTCATGTAGTCGTGAATTGGTATATAACATCGCTGGTTACGAGATGGGGAACTTTCTTCATCACATCAGTTGTGTACAAAAGCGGCTATGTTTACTCTCCACGGTTGCCGTTGACGCGTGCCGGCCGGGAAGTTTACCGAAGATTTTTCCGTGGTGGATGGTTCAGAGCTCGGAAAAATGCAGAGTTTTGTGCAATTTCGAGAAGACTTACCATACTTATTGTGTTTCTGAAACCCTTTAGGATTATCTGCCTCTCTCGGTCTAGTGACAGATCTTTTTCGTGACGAGCTTCTTTGTGGAGCTTAGCTAACGACTGCTGTTTCAGCAGGCCTTCATCAAATGTCCGTTGACCAAAAGCCTCTCATTCGTAGCAACATTTCTTGCTGAGTAATGTTGTGGAAGAGTTGGTCTCAACTTTGTCGTTCGGCTAGGTATCCACGTTCTGGGATAGTTTTTTAAAGTTTCGGAAGGTTCCGAAACATCACTAGTAAACATACCAGTTGAGATCACACGGTAGTACCTTCTCTACTGAGGTAAGTTGTGCACGTGGATCGGTCACACCGTGCTCGTGGAAGCCAGCCTCTGCATAGCAGAACCAGGCTTTGATGTTGTCGGGCCATGATTGCATCAACAAAAAATGTGGGAGGCGAAAGGGTCTTAATCTCACATAACTTAGGAGTCTATTCCGTCATGATGAATACAAGCATAACGTTGCGCGAGAAAAGATATCCGAAAATATGAAAACAATATCACAATATGTTTCAACAGGGAACAGATACCCAGTCCGCTGTTTGGTGTACCAGATAACGGCGAGCTCACTACTGAAGACATCATAAGAATTCGGAGTTTGAAAACACTTTTACATTCAACACCTTCGCAATTGGAGGATATCAACTCAGTCAAATTAGAAGACAGAAATGAAGGGGTTCGAAGTTATGTCTGGAAAGCTATCGAAATATCAAGGAGCATTTGTTCTAATCTGGATAACAGTTGTAAGAGATGCATAGCACGACGTACCCATTCGTGATCTGGTACGGATACGTGACCGAGAGCCTTCAGATAGATTTGTACTAATGGGGTCAGAATCAAAAATGTCGAAGACGTACAGAGCTACTGATTTTGTGGGTTTATTTACCACTACCATTTCGCATCTGATTATGAGCTATAAGAATTCTTTAAAGCGGCGGAAAACGTGTTCAATGTAAAAACATTATAGACAACAATTATAGGGGAGAATTGGCTGTAGCATATATCATACAGGATTTTTATTTTTTCATCAATGTCTTTTAAAACAGAATGCTTGTTTGTATACATTATAATTGCTAACTAATTTGTTTGATTGCCGCTTCTGAATGCGTCTGCAATTAAAATTTGACTTACTGATTTACCCTCTGTCTACTTATTCGACACTGTCTGATACACATTGATTCATCTGCTTAAAACCATTGTGTTGATTAATATGGATGTCTATCTAAGTAGTACTAAGGTTTCTCAACTGAATAAATCTTACGAGTTCAAACTACATTTTCAAGTTTTCCTTAAATATGATTATCTTCCTAAAGAAAACTTTAGTAATAACGCATTGTCATGAATCAATATTTTTCGTGTTTAGCTGTTGTTTTAGATGTCTTGCTGTATATCATGTGAAACTAAAATATATCAATAGTGTATGGCGTATACACATGATATTTTAATATTTTAAGACTCCTATTTCATCAAACTGAAGCTAAATAGGTAATTTATACCAAGTATACTTTCTCCATGTGGATGATTATTCTGAAGTCGGTAAACTCTAATGTTACTGCTAAACGGTTTTTAAAAGTCATGGTGTTTAGCTAAATTCTAAAAATGAAGTTAAATGTATGAAGTGCATTAAAAGTCCGTTACTTAAAAAAATGCTTGGTTCAATAGAAATAAAAGCGTGACATGCTTCAGATATCTTCTGATTTACAATGAAAACGAAAAGAATAACTAGTTCATTATATGTTTTATATTTATACAATGAACACAAGTTAAAGCAGTTGATGGAATAATCTCTATATTTTACTACTTAATCCCATCTGTATAGGACAACTGTAATTAAAACATTCAAAAGTAATCGTTCATTTTAATATGATTAATTAACTTAAACAAAGTAAACGAACTGAAGTCATTCATCCGACAAAAGGAATATTAGACATATGTGTCGTTCAAGATTTAGAACCACTATATGGTTTAATACCAAAAAACTACTAGTTTGTAAAAATGAGTAAGACGTTATCAAATGAATGATTTTAAATGAAACCAAAAAAAGAATTTCATATTGCTTCGAGATAGTTAGTTGGTACGAATTTAATTTCACCATATGGATGAAATTTGACTAAACTCCAATTAGTATTCCCATTTTGACCATAAGATCTTATGATTGTCACTAACTGACCTTTGGACAATATTAGAACATTTTTATTTTTAGACGAAAAGTCATGAGTAATTCTGTGAGTTGGTTTATCGGGAAAATCATCATTCATACAGAGTTTTGAAGTTGAAGGTTGTTCTTTCACACTTATATATCTAATGTCATCACCTGAAGAAATCCTGCACAGTTTTTTCTCCTGTTGGTAATCAGACTCACGATACTATATAATAGAGAAAAAGCCGTCAAGAATAAATTGTAAGGTAAAAGTCAGTCCAATTTTAGAACAGTATTCAAAATATCTCCAGAAATTAGAAGACCAATGTTGCAGAAGACCTACAGTTCATGTCTAAATTTAACCTTGACTAGAGAAACTGATATTGAAACTATATAACTAACGCGGTAATAATTCAGTCTTTGAGTATACAGTTTGCCTGTTACACAGTGCAGGAATTCGAATAATAATGAATTTATTTTTCAAAAAATGTTTTTAATTACCTGTATATATGAAATGAAATATTATAGTTTGCGTAAACGTTTCTATCTTAAATAATAGTCCGCTGATTAACGTGTATTTTAGTCTAATCGATTAAAATTGGTGAGCTGTTTTCTCTCACCAGAATAAGCTATGCATTAACATGGCACTACACAGTATCACTTTAATATTAGTTCCATGTTAAGAATTTCCCTGTATGATAAATTCATAATCGGAGATGTTGAAAAAAGTGTATCTCGATTTAGTAACTATTGTGGTAAGAGAACTATCTTCTTTATTCGAAATGTTCTCACCCATTACTTAGACAATTAACATGTGGACACTTATTCGTTGAAAATGCTTTTGAATATCGATCAAATCTAATTCTAAAATTATATTTTATTGCACGGATTTGAATCCGTAAAAGACACTAACTAGCCTATGACATAAATGAGAAGTGAAATAATGACAATTAGTAGGTCACACTTTGAAATACGAAATTCTTATTTAGAAATATCAGAACTGTAACTGCAATACTACTGTAACATAAACTTCTCATAATAAACTTTAGTGTTTATATTCTATGCTTGAACAGCATTACCACTCATTAAAAAGTAGCTGCCTTCAAAATGATTGACATATCAGCTTCATATTTTTTCTGAAGTGAAAATTAATGGACCACACGTTGAAAAATATAAGTATATTTTGGTCAGAAGTATACCCACGTTCCATGGCAGCTTACTCATACTCATCGAGTCACAAAGCATTATTCACACCAAATTATTATTCTACATTACTCTAGTTATAACACTAGTTTTTAGATGAAAAATCATACCTTAATGTAGTACATAAATATCTATAAGTTCCAAGTCTTATATCTCAAAAAACCACAGTCACCTGTTTTGACGAATTATTCTAAACACATTATGGATGAATTTCTATCGGTAAATAATCGGTTGCATTTACATATGTTCTTAGTCACTGGTTGGAAAGTTAATTACCTTCAGCGTACATTAAAAGGCTGACATTCAGTTGACCAGGAAATTCCACATTCAATTTCTGAGAAACATTAAAACGATGTTCAGATTTTTAATAATATCCATTTGTCTACCGCAATACTTCCATCTGTTTGTATGAGAATTTATTTTAATTATCACATCCTAAAACACTGAATTCAATGTAATTAAGTTTACGCATTAGGCATAACATTTAATGAAACAGAGTTTGGACACCAAGCACGTAGTAAGACATGGTTGATTACTATTCACGAAATCCCTCAAAATATTCACCACTACGAGGATGCTTTCTATTCAAATAGTTTTCTTTTGAATGAAAGAACTTTGTGATTTAAAACCATAGAAAGTCGTTGTTTTTCTTAATTGTAATAACACTGAATTAGTTAAGAAATATTAATACTTTTGATTACATCATATAATGGATAGACAATTCATTACTTAATATCAAGGATTCATGAAGGTAGAATTAAAAAACAAACAGTACCAGTTTTATGCTTAGGATTCATCCCACAAATAGTTGAAAAACATGTGGAAGGTATTTGGAAAATAGACACATCTTTATTTTCAATAACAATCAGTATTAAGAGACTATATTTTCGATGTAAATATAACGAAAAAAAAACAAACATCATAGACCATTTATGTATGACATTAGAATAATCATTTTTACAAAAATAAATCTTTGAATTTATTATTTAGATTAGTGCATCAATGATGATCAGTAAAGAGGGAATACTTATGAATATGAATATGTTATGCGTCATTGGAAATTGAAAAAATGTGGAGGATTTTTATATCAGTAAGAACCTGTATATCAACATGAAATGATGTTTTTACATAATCCTAACGGTTTCATTATAAATTTGACTATTCCTCTAGATCTAAAGCTTTAACAATAGTCATGATTAATTAATTGGTAACGTTGTGATAAAATATGTTCCATAAAAGATTAAAAAATCTTATATTTTGTCTATTTCTACAATGTACACTAAATCGAAACTAAACTAATACGTTCACCATAGAACTTTAACAGTATGAAAAAATATATATTCAACTTACAATAATTTTCATTTCCGGATATGGTGATAAGGAATTTTTAATAACACTTCTAGTTGAAATTGTTTGACAGGGTTGAATATCTATATCTGAATTTGATAGATGACTGCTAACTGACATTACAGCTAAATAAATTTAAGAAATTGTCAAATATATATAACCAATTAAACACAAATTTACAGTAGATCAAAGTGTGAAGATGGAGAATGTGATAAATTGTTTTATATTTTTCAGTTTCCATTACACAATACTGGATTCGGAAAATGTATAGACATGAACTACTTTGAAACTTTCAATTTGACTCAAAATTAAACTAATACAAAGTTCTTTTTCTCAAGTTAATCATGCAGTTATGCTTATTCAACACAATAATACCAATGGGCGTAAGACTAAATTCATTCAACAATTATCCATAATATACTTTGTTTTCTGTAATCAAAGTGGAATAGCAAGATTAAAGCGGTAAATACTATCAAGCCAGTACAGCTATAAGAAAATATTACATAATTTGTGCACTCGATTACTCAATCAAACAAGTGCAATTTTGTTCAGTCAGTCCGGTGAACTAATGCCAATCGTTTTATGCATGGACTATGTTGTTTTTTGTCTCATAAATTGTATCACAAGAACCCTATGGTCATGATTACTCAATCGTTTACAGAAAGGGTGTTAATTGCAAAATCTAACTTAATATTAAATGTAATTAGACTTGCTTTAATTAATCATTTACTAGCAGCATATATATATATATATATATATATATATATATATATATATATATATATATATATATATATATATATATATATATATATATATAGACATTTCCTCTAGTCAATAAAACAAGAAGTAAGCGTTGAAAACCTACAGAGCTTGATTAATTTCTATCAGTATAAATTTATTTCAAAGAAAAATTGTGTTATGGAACAAAAATAAAGCCGACTAGTGAACAATAATACTTAGAATATTATAAACATTTGGACTATCAGTTTGAAGTTAATACAATAAAACATTGAAAAAAAAGTGCCCTAGCATATAAAATTTGAACAACTAATACTTTCAATTAACTTATCATAAAGCAATAGTAATTATTTCGAATATTTAGTTGGTTTTAAAGTTCATAAAAAGAAAACAATAATTTCTAATACAGACTTGAAATATTTGTTACTAGTGGATTCAGTTCTAATACAGAACACTGATTTGTTTACCAATTACAATAGTTGCAAAAATAAATAATCAATTTATTGAGCTTCAGACAATTTTATAAATGTTTTTTTTACTCAGGAATCGAGATAATAATTAAACTATTCAATTTATTTAATACTCAAATACAAATCAGCTGGTTTACCATTACTTTAATGACCTTAAATCCTTAATAACCCATTCATATTGACAAATAATACGTGAAATAAATAAAAGAACTATTCAAGCGTAAAATTCTAAAATCTTACGAGATTCCTGATGAGGTAAATTATTCTTGTCACTACACGTTGATTCTTCTTCCCATTTAAATACACTAGGTACTTCATATATTCTATGAGTTCGACAACGTTTTTTTTCGTAGAGAAGAGATTTTAATTTATCTAGACGAATAATAAGTTCTGCAGGAGATAAGTTACATCCAGGTTGTATAGATATATTGTCTTTTTCAGTCTGTTGAGAATATAAAATGTTTTAAACACTTTAATTAAAGACGTTCTACTATATAAACAATTAAATATTAATGTCTGTGCAAAATTATTCGTAAAGTCTTAAAATCTAACTGCTTTTTCAAAAGTTTCTCAAAATTGCAATTATTCTATATATCAATTAGTATACCAAGTTGACCAGACGGAGAAAACAGTTCACAAACTATTTATTCATAAACAGTGTGCTTTTACATAAAACTAAAAACACTTAGTAATCCAAGTCGTGCTGGACATTGGAGTTTTTTTATTCACTCATCGAGTCTTTGTGAAGGGGACGTGACTCAGCTTCGTAGTTACTACCATATCTGATTTCAATGCTTCAGCTGACATACTGTTTGGTTCTGCTGCTTTGACATTTTTGGTTTTTTGAATGGCTTTGCTGATTTCCAATATTGGCACGATGTAATCCATTAGGAGGTTTGTTTGTGTGGCTTCGGTATCTAATGGACTCAGAGGTACTGGTCTATTCAAGAACTCTTTTAAAAATGCTTTACCGATCAGTTCTGCTGCTTTTGAACCCAAATGATTGGTTGCCATTTTGCCCTTGACTGGTATATCTGGTTTGCCGTATTTTGTTCTTGAGAGCTTCTTTATTGCATAATATAGTTCTCTCATATTTTCTTCTTTTACAGCTCGTTCTCCTGTAGTTGCCAGGCCTTCCAATTCTGTCGTTTACTCGCTTGTTTACTTCTGTGAATCCCGCATTTGACTTGGGTTCCTCTGTTCTTGTTCGGCTGTTGTCGACTGCCGTCCTCTTGTTTTTCCTTTCTTGAGTGATGCCTAGGTTATTAATAGAGTTTAACTTTATATTCTGGTGCTTCATTGGAACCAGGCCCTCCTGACATGTTGGTGTTATCATTTCTTTAATCCTTTTCTAGTTATCCGCTATGGTGGTTTCCGTTTTTTCGAGCATATCTAGTAAGGCTTGTAACTTGTTGCTGAGAGCTATCTTGAATTCAGCGAGTTTGTCAGTGTCTCGAAGGATGACCATACTAAACGTTTATATTGCAGCTTGTCTGACTACCCGGTGTTTCCCAGTTTCAGTTTCAGCCAGGGCACCACCAGGTGTTGATCTGAATCTGTATCAGCTTCTTTGTTTGTTCCTATGACTTTCATGAACCTCATGAACTTTTTATTGATGTAAATGTGATTTGTCTTGTTTTCTGTAGTGTGTTCTCATGTAGTTTTGTGTTTGTATTTGTGAGGGCAAGTACAACTACGCTACCATAGTATTATTGAAAATAAACAGATCTATAAGCCTCTGGTCATCCTTGATTCTTTTTTTAAATTCATTTAGTCTCATGACTTCTTAATACCCTATGTTGTCCATGTCAACCTTGGCATTCAAGAATATAAAATCTTTTTCAGGACAGTGCTTCTTCACATTTCTACAGCTACTTGAATGTTTCTCCCAGTCTCCCACATTGTCCGAAGATTCCATGCATTGATACTAATTATTGATCTCGTTTTCTGAATGCTCGTGGGTTTCGCGATTTCGATAGAAGTTCCGCTTCCATCATGAGGTGTCATAACTCGTCTATATGAACACTCTTCAACTACCAGTTCAGAGTTTAAATGGTCCAAATAAATTTTTTTGATTACTGTTTTTAATTACCTTATTTTTCACAGTACGTGCTACTATTCCGATACCCAAACCTTTTCACTTATTAGGGACTGGAACTGGTGGTAACCCTCCAAGTGCTTTTGGCAGAGTGCGTCTATTAGTATAAATACTCACAATTTAGCACTGAATGTGTAATCAGTTCAGTTGAACAAAATAAAATACAAGAAAAACGTTCTGTTAAAAGAAGCTTTGCCGTGATGATAAATATATAATATCTAATTCGTTATATGTGAATATATGAATTGAGCTGGAAAACATTATAAGTGTTTTTGGTATACCTTGTTTCAGCATTAATACTAATAATAGAATATCAACACCAAACATACATTGTTTGACTCATCAATTTAACCATTTTTGCAAAAATGATCAAAATAATGATCACAACCAAAATTTTCTAGGCCTGCACGGATTTCGTAAAAGGATCTGCTTAATAGATTAAAATAGTTGTGATATCAGCAAACATAATGTCATAAAGAAAAAACTGTGTTGTATTCTACTGTTTAAATAATTTCTGAAGATCTAATAGTATTATTATAAATACATAGAATTACATTTCATTTAACTTATTGATTTTAACAAGAACATATGTATTTACTACTGAAAAAGAATAAAATTTGTACCGTCTTAAAGATCAGACCACATAAGATTTCATAGTTTGTTAGAATTATTTGATAGAAAACATAAATCAACACAGTATTAATTGCACATATTAATTATGCAATTAATTGATGTAGAACTTATGAAAAATTAATTCATTATAATTCATTAAATCTTCTATTCATTATGTCACTTGTGCTTGTGATGAATAAAGTATGTAAACTTACTTCTTTTGCACATGATTTATTGATTTAAATTAAACAGATTCACAAGCTACATTTTATTGTTTTCGTATGAATAAAAAGTGTTGTCTAACAACGCTTAGAATCGTCTAGAATTTGTGAAACGTTTGCCACTATTTGCACAAATATTTTATTCAAAAGAATAACAATTTTATCAGTAAAGCAATCATGCACTTATCATTATACTAAATAAAGTGGAAGTTCGTTGTGAAAGTATTGATGTATTCATAAAGTTAAGCAAGATGAAATCAGTAACTTTTGTTGATCTTTTCCAAATAGTATGAGACTTCTGAATTCAAGTAATCTAAATAATGTGATCATTTGAATCTTATTAATTTGCTAAATATTATTGACCAACTCGTCCACGATTAACAGGAACACCTTTCACTAGTTGGATAGTCTTTACTGAAACTTAAGAAGTAGTTACTTGTCTGACTGATTTTATCGTCCAACACTATATTTTTATCTAAAACCATATCTTGCATTAAAACACTATACTTAAAGTTATTTAGAAAGATATTTTGTTGAAAAACAATGCTTTTGAACGGATTTCTTAATCCATTCTAAGACACACAAACTAATTTCTCACTATAATAAGTTGAAATAAAAATAAGAGTTTAAGGTAATCAAAAAGAGTTGTTCATAGTGTTGACCGCGTGTGTTTATTTACAGGATATCAGTAAGCCACTAAATCAGGGAGTTTAAACCAGTTGATATGATGTTCAAACTTGGGATAGTATGAGCGTAAAAACCACACCATTGCTATGCTAGCTTAAAGTATGTACTAAATAGCTCAATGATAAATACATTCGTACAATTCATACTGTTTACATAGACTGTATTCACTATTACTTGAACCAATGGTAAACTTGAAAATGATAAATCAAGGTCATTATGACATTTATTTTTAGAACTTACATCGTTAATACACTTGTGAACTAAATTTTCAGCTTCTTGCATAAGATTTGATTGAAGTATAAAAGCGTATTGACTAGCTGATAATAAAATATTATTTGCACTTTTTACCAATGAAGGTAGGATATGTTGTAGTCCAAACTGTAAAGTAGACAGATTTCGTATATTGTCTTCTCTTTGTAATTGCATATTAACAACAGCTTGCTTGACAAAAGAAATAATTTCTAATTAATTTATTTAAGAAAAAAGCATCGATATCTTTATAGCATAGAAGTGAAATTTCTACTTTTTTTGTATACATACCTAATTGTATTAATGACAGAAATTAATCACTGAAAGATGTAACTGGCTTTAGAAGTTGATTTACTGATGATTATTATTATTATCATATCCTAATATAGGCTACATATAACAATAATAAATGTATGATTTGTAAATGTTCAAATGAAAATTAAATTTCATAATATAAAAACCTGAATAATAAGCAAATGTTAAATCTTGTATTGTATTTCTTAACAAAGCATGGTAAACAATTTTCAAGATAAGGTATAAGTTTATGTAGTTACTTAATTAAGTAAGATATTCGTGGAAAAAAAAATTACTCTCAAGAGATTCATTCATAACTTGAACGTTATTTTAAGCGTAACTCTCTTGGTTATGTAAAATACGTCAACTCAGTTTTGATAACATATTATTTTAGGATTTATATTCATAATCAGTTATCGAAAAGATATGTACATAGGAAACTCATCGTCTTACATTGTTGACGATATATGTTGACGATAAGCTTTTCTGTATACTTTCGTCTAACACTACTGAACATTTATCAAGTGAGAATTGACTTTTTTTAGTAAATTTTTATTGTTAGTTAACACGTTAATTTATTTGAAGTATAGTAAATTAACCACAGATTGCATTTTCGACAAAGAAGGAATAGAAATGAAACTCCTATGACAACATTTATTAACAGAAGTTTAAATGTTTGCAAAATACGTATTTCAGCAAGTAAAACAATTATAATTCTGTAGATTCCTCTGACTCTCTTTGATTACGGTGAGCTTGTTTTGACTAATGAATAATGCTTTCGTAAAAGTAGATTACATTAAAATTGATTACATAAGTTGGGTGAAATTTCAAACTACTCGTTATTTTGTTGCTAACAGAGATAAATATCATTTAATGAATTTAAACAGAATATGGTTACAATCATGCGACTGTAAACCAAACCTAGTAACGAGTGAATATAATTATATCGAAAAAATAAATAGCTCAACATAGTAGATAATCAGTTCACTCAATATATGGTCTCATAGTTAGTTATAAATGTAATCAATAAAATATGATCTGCTAGTTGATAAGCTAAGTGGTATATTTCCACTACTTCTATGTGTACTACGGTACAGATCTCATGTAACACTGAATAATAATGGCGAATAAATTCATACTGAAAGAAAACTCTATGACGGAATTTAAGTAAATGAGTCTTTTAACGTTGATGGGTTTAAAGCCAAACTTTATTTTACTTTATTTATATTGCTTTAAAAAATGTTTTTCTAAGGGTAAAATCGATGTACTGTTATGGGATTAGGCGTAGAAAATGCAAGAAAACTAAGTATTAATTTTTTGGGTTTTCCAGTTTACTTTATTACTTCTCCGTATAAACTATCAAATTACCACTTTTAATTCATGCCATACAGTTATACTTGTATTTTACCAAAACAAACTCAACTCAATATATAAGAAAAAAATAACCTATCAATTGTGTGATAGCACACTATAAGCTAAAACTTTCACTGGAACAACATATAGAGAATTACTGGAATTCCTTGAATAATATACCAGGAATGATGTCATTCAGTATAATTTTTTTGATTAGTAACGCATAACTTGAATTGTTAACTTTGTTTTTTAGTGTATCTTTTGTACTATAAAAATAACATGCATAAGTAAAGAAAAATCCATGAAATACCTATACTACTTGACTCTTTTGTGTTTTTTACTGTGTTCTTTCATCGTTCGTCATGATGTGATGTTATTATTTTTACTGATGTCCTCTAAAATGGAATTGTTTATTGTCTTGATTACAACAAATTACCAGATATGTAAGTGTGATGTTACATTTTATTTTACAAATCGTAAACTACGAGGAAGAAAGAAAATTGCAAGTTGTAGATTTGCGACAAAACATTCCATAAATTATTCTCATAAAATGTGAAGCAATGCACATATGTAAAGTTAATCATTGAAAAGATAATATTTCTTGACTAAACTTACAACATTTTTATGGTTTTTCATTGAAGCTTCCATTAAAACAATGTTCAATTCTGTATTATCGTATTTATCCAAAAGACGCTTTGAAAGATTTATTAATTTTTTCAATTCATTTAAACGATTAACTACACTAGATGACATTTTTCTCAACTGCAACACAAGTTCATGAAAAAAACAGGTGTATAATATATTAAATGTTCATCATCTGGTCCATAAAAAAATCATTTATTAATTTACTTACGCCTGTTAACCATCGTGGAGGAACCTAGGTCGCACACCAGCATTCCACAGCCAACCCTGTCCTCACTCATCCTTTGCAGCTGTCTCCAGTCGCCGTTCATTCTTTCAATATCTGCTTCCGATTCTCGAAACAATGTGTTTCTCGGTCTTCCTCTTTTCAGTTTCCAAGTTTTCCAGATTCCAATTCAGCGCTCACCTCACGACATAGTCTGATGATTTCCTCAGTGTATGTCTTATACACACCCAACGCGTTTGCCCAAGTTCCTCTTCAGATGGAAGTTGGTGCGTTCTCTCACACAGTAGGTTGTTGCTGATGGTATCCGACCCACGGACGTTGAGTATCTTGAGTAGACAACTGTTTATAAATACCTGTACTACTTTGATGTTGGTTGTGGTAGTTCTCTAAGTCCCATCTCCGTACATCGGGACTGTCTCGACGTTCGTATTGAAGATTCTGAATTTTGTGTTGGCATGCATACAGTTGTTTTGAGTTCCATGTATTCGTCAGTTGCAGGAATATCACCCTTGATTTGACGATCCTTCTTGTTAATCGATGATGCTGTTCGGACATGTGGGAGTTGCCACGTGTTCCAGAGTTTCTCGACTGAGTGTGAGTATGATGGTGTTCTCTGTGTTGTATTTGAGGATGTTACTTTTCCATCATATATGTTGATGCTTACTTCTCTAGAGACTACTGCTTCAGCAAGTGTCTTGACCTGAATTTGTTGATGTGTATGAAGTAGACGAGCTAGGTCACCTACAAAGTCTAAATCATCTAGTTGCATCCAAACTGTCCACTGTACTCCGTGCTTCCCCTCAGATGTGGAGTGGAGGTCTTCATGATCCAGTCAACCACCACCAGAAGAAGAAGAAGAAGAAAGGGAGGGTGTGAGCAGTCCTGTCTGACACCGATCTTCATTTGGAATGTATCTGTTAGCTGTCCTCCATGCATAACTGTGCAGTGTAGTCTGTCATAAGAATTCCGTATGACGTTGACGATCTTCTCAGGCACACCAACAGTGTCTGTGTATTTTTCATACAGTTCGCCTATTCACACTGTCAAACACTTTCTTGTAGTCAATCAAGTTGATGCACAGTGATGATTTTTATTCAATTGATTATTCAATGATGATCCGTGATGTATAATGTAATCAGATGTGAGTAAAATGCAATTCGAATCCAAATATATTTGAGAAATCATCGGTTGACACATCTTACAATCTCCAAACATAATAATTTGCTGTCATTCAAGTACAAAAGATAATTCAATCAAATCACCTAGAACTAATCATGTTTTTATTTACAGTCATGTCACATATAAATATTTGTTGTTCAAGCTGCCAGTTGTCGTGAAACTTCAGGGCCTTAGCTATGACTTTTTTGTGATCGTGAGTGCGTATCCTTTAGAAGGTTTTCTGCCGTATTGAAATAGCTGTCCAATGTTTTTATATTTTCACTAATTGTTTTACTGTCTTCAGTGTAATATGCATTAAATATCTTTCTGGTGAAATGTAGATCATCAGTCATATCTAGATGACTTCACACAAAGATGTAAAACACTAATAGTACGATAAAAACAAAAATAACGTTTTATTAATCAAAATTGATCAATTAAAGCCTTATTAAGAATAATTAGGCAAGATGAACAACCCAAAAAAGTTAAGTAATATTATGAATACTGTAGTAAAATGTCTTTTTATTTTGAAGTATAATTCAGTGATTTGGAATGAACGAGGTTTTTAAATGTTCCACAAATCAGAATGAAATGAAATAAAAACTTAATTGAAAATAGTTTCAAACACAACAAATTAAACTAAGCTGAACATCTGATACGATTAATGCTATGTTAATCAAAACTAAAACCCAGATACATATAGCTAGTAAGCTTTTTTATGGTATGTAACATAAATGCTTAATTTCACTGTTACCTACTATTTAACGTACAATCAATTTGAAAATAAATTTTAATGGAAAATATAATTTACTGAAGAAACTAAGTAGAACTATGAAGATAGTGATGTGCATAACTTACATATATATCATTCATATAATGAATTAATGTATCAAATGCAATTTCACAATTTATTATTAAATCGATAGGTAATTCATTTGATGAACAATTAGTTGTTGGTATATCAGAATGAAGTTTAATTGTGTTTCGTTGTAAAAATACTTTTTTCATAAAAGAGATAAAGTCTTTTTGTGCCAATATAAATCTCTATAAAATAAAAATAATCATTAAAATAATTTAATACATTAAAGTGAGAAATTTCGAGGAAAAAAATTCAAAGCTGAATTATAGGATTTCTAATTTTAAAGTTATTTGTTAATAAAAACAAATTTGATTGAAGAAGAGCCTTTTATCTAATGTATATGAAAACGAAGCCGTTTATCGTTTAATGTTAGTTGATGAGGAATGCATCATGATTTTGGCAATAAGGATAAAACACATCCTTCTCTAACGTATTCAGGTATATAATGCCCAATGTTTTTGAGTACTTTAAGTGTAATTTAGTCATCTGTAAAAATTAACATAAATATGTTGATGATTATATTTTAGTTCATAAATAATACCTTGATTTACGGATTATAAGTTACCAATAAAGTTATTTAGCGATTTCAATTATTATCAATTAGTAACAAGATCTTGTTACGTAATTCACGATAAATGGAGCACTGGGTAAATTGCTTATTAGAAAATGAACATAGTTAGCCTTTATACTAAAAGTGTTGGGTTAAAATAAACTCAGGTAGGTCATTTAATTAAACTATTTCTTGTTAACTGATACATGCAATTTAGTACGTAGACTTTAAATCTGCGTATTTAAGCAGTGAGAAACTTTATCGTTTACCTGAACTTATTTAAAAGAGCAATCAAAGTTGCTAAAATATAGGGCAAATAAAATGCCAAAGCTGGAATATCGGAAAGAAATTCATGTAATGGTGTCGAGATTCTAACTTATTCCCAAGGTAGGTTTATTGCGTCCCCATCCCGTAGAAAACTAACTCGCTAAAAAAACGCTAACCAGAAAAAATTATTCAAACCTTCTAAACTCTGCCCTGGGAGTCAGAAGGTCTTCTTTTAGAAGAACTATGATGCCTCATGATGAAAGCCGAATTTCTTCGGAAGTTACGAGGCCGATGCCCCTTCTGACAACCAGAGCGACCATTTATTTAGGTACATGGAATGTTCGTACAATGTGGGACACCGGAAGAGCCTTACAAATTGCTGCAGAAATGAGAAGATACAACCTAGAGGTACTTGGGATCAGTGAAACACATTGGACACAAGTTGGACAACAACGACTAACTTCAGGAGAGCTCCTGTTATACTCCGGCCATGAAGAAGAAAATGCACCACATACACAAAGAGTTGGATTGATGCTGTCCAGACAAGCGCAGAATGCGCTTATAGGATGGGAATCTCATGGACCAAGGATCATCAAAGCCTCCTTCAAAACAAAGAAAAAGGGCATTTCAATGAACATCATCCAATGCTATGCGCCTAACAACGACCACAATGAAGACGCTAAAGATCAATTCTACAATAGGCTGCAGTCAATAGTCGAGAAGTGCCCAACAAAGGACCTGACCATTCTGATGGGAGATTTCAACGCCAAGGTTGGAACGGACAACACTGGATATGAAGACATCATGAGACGATGTAGACTAGGAGAAAGAAACGAAAATGGTGAGAGATTTGCAAACCTGTGTGCCTTCAATGAACTGGCCATAGGCGGCACCATATTCCCACATAAACGCATGCACAAAACCACATGGACTTCACCGGATCACTCTACACAAAACCAAATCGACCATATTTCCATCAACAAAACGTTCAGGAGGACGATTGAGGAGGTGCGAAACAAGAGAGGAGTTGATATAGCCACAGATCATCACTTGCTGGTCGCCAAGATGAAATTGAAACTCAAGAAGCGCTGGACAATGGGGCGGACAACACCACAAATGTTCAATACGGCCTTTCTTCAGGACACTGACAAACTCAACGAATTCAAGATAGTCCTCAGCAACAAGTTCCAGGCCTTTCATGATCTACTCAATGGAGAAGGAACTTCTGTGGAGAGCAACTGGAAGTGGATCAAAGAGGCAATCACTTCAACATGTCATGAGGTCCTGGGTCACAAGAAGCACCATCACAAGGAATGGGTCACTGTTGATACACTGGATAAGATTCAAGAAAGGAGGAACAATAAAGCAGAAATCAATACCAGTCGAACAAGAGCAGAAAAAGCCAAGGCACAAACTGAATACACAGAAGTAAACAAACAAGTGAAGAGGAGCATCAGAACCGACAAACGTAAATATGTGGAAGGTTTAGCAACGACGGCGGAAAAGGCTGCAAGAGAAGGAAACGTGAGACAATTGCATGACACGACAAACAAACTCTCTGGAAATCGCCGCAAAGCAGAACGACCAGTGAAAAGCAAGGACGGCAAGGTAATCACCAATATTGAAGAGCAACAAAACAGGTGGGTAGAACACTTCAAAGAACTGTTGAATCGACCAGCTCCACTGAACCCACCCAACATCAAAGCAGCACCCACGGACCTCCCAATCAGTGTTGGCACACCAACAATTGAAGAAATCAGCATGGCCATCAGATAAATCAAGAATGGCAAAGCAGCAGGACCAGACAACATTCCAGCAGAGGCAGTAAAAGCAGACGTAGCGGCAACTGCAAGGATACTCCACATTCTCTTCAATAAGATTTGGGATGAGGAACAAGTGCTAACAGACTGGAAATAAGGATTCCTGATCAAAATACCAAAGAAAGGCGATCTCATCAACTGTGATAAGTACAGGGGCATCACTCTCCTCTCAATACCGGGAAAAGTCTTCAACAGGGTATTGTTAAACAGGATGAAGGACTCCGTAGACGCCCAACTTCGTGACCAACAGGCAGGATTCCGTAAGGATAGATCGTGTACAGACCAAATCGCAACTCTACGGATCATTGTGGAACAATCAATTGAATGGAATTCATCACTCTACATCAACTTCGTTGACTACGAAAAGGCATTTGATAGCGTGGACAGAACAACACTATGGAAGCTTCTTCGACACTACGGCGTGCCTCAGAAGATAGTCAATATCATACAGAGTTCATATGATGGATTACACTGCAAAATCGTGCATGGAGGACAGTTGACAAAGTCGTTCGAAGTGAAGACCGGTGTTAGGCAAGGTTGCTTACTCTTACCCTTTCTCTTTCTTCTGGTGATCGACTGGATCATGAAGACGTCAACGTCTGAAGGGAAGCACGAGATACAGTAGACAGATAGGATGCAGTTGGATGATCTAGACTTCCCAGACGATCTGGCCCCTCTATCCCAAACGCAACAACAAATGCAGGAGAAGACTACCAGTGTGGCAGCAGCCTCAGCAGCAATAGATCTGAATATACACAAAGGGAAAAGCAAGATTCTCCGATACAACACAGAATGCACCAATCCAATCACAATTGACGGAGAAGATTTGGAAGATGTAAAAACCTTTACATATTTGGGCAGCATCATTGATGAACAGGGTGGATCCGGTGCAGATGTGAAGGCGCGGATCGGCAAAGCAAGAGCAGCATATTTACAACTGAAGAACATCTGGAACTCAAAGCAACTGTCAACCAACACAAAGGTCAGGATTTTCATTACAAATGTCAAGGTGGTTCTACTGTATGGGGCAGAAACTTGGAGAACTACGAAAGCCATCATCCAGAAAATACAGGTGTTTACTAACAATTGTCTACGCAAAATACTTCAGATCCATTGGCCGGACACTATTAGCAACAACGTACTGTGGGAGAGAACAAACCAGATCCCAGCGGAGAAAGAAATCAGGAAGAAGCGCTGGAAGTGGATAGGACACATATTGAGGAAAGCACCCAACTGCGTCACAAGACAAGTCCTCATATGGAATCCTGAAGGCCAAAGAAGAAGAGGAAGACCAAAGAACACATTACGCCTGGAAATGGAAATAGACATGAGAGAAATGAACAAGAATTTGATGGAACTAGAAAAGAAGGCCCAGGACAGAGTGGGTTGGAGAATGCTGGTCGGCGGCCAATGCTCCATTGGGAGTAACAGGCGTGAGTAAGTATGTAAGTAAGTAAGTAAGTAATGGAAGTGCTTCATGCCGAATGAAAGACAGAATTCCTTCTTGGTCTAAAATCGTATCTAAAGATTGATTATGTTCATTGTAGTGCATTTTATATTATAAAGTCATCACGTGAAATTTTGATTTTCATCAACGAACATTTAAACTACGCAAGAAGATCGGGTGATTATCCAACTTAGAACTTAACGAGTTCAACCAGTAGCGGTATTAAAGTTCCTAATTTGCGATACTGCCTAGCGGTCATTCGTAGCTATATGTGTTAATAGCAAGCTAAGCAAAATGTTAGTATACAAAATAATGCAAGACATGTGAAATTTAGTTATTACTATAGTATTGTTGAAACACCTTTTACCATCAGTAAAACAGAATTTAATGTAGAATTTTGTTTATTATTAAACACACGAATTGATACTTAACTAACGATAACTCAATATCACATTGGTATATCTAGTGCTTTTTACCATGTTTGTTCATAATTTTGACACTGTTACAACTTGAGGACATTTGTTTATTTGTAACTATGTACAGATCATGGTGTTTTAATCATATGTTTAATTGTTTCTTTTAATTCAGGAAAAGGGTAATTACCGAAAACATAAAATACGTAGGCTTCAAATGAAGGATAAAATAGAAAACTTGAGACTTTGTTGTTTTAAGGACTGTGTTTATTTACCCAAACGGAAGTATATTTTGTATCAATAACTGCCATCAACTAGAAAACTAATAAACAGCTACTTTTCCAAGTTCAAGAAGCCACAGCACTGTATCTATAATTAAAACAGGCCCATGGCAAGTATAAAAAATTTTAGACACAAATTCAGCATTCTGTGAATGCTTTCTTTAATCCCAGACGTTTTGTATAATCATGGAAAACTGACTTGCTCCTTACGTGATTGAATGTAAGGTCTTACCCGAGTTTTCTTACATCGAGACTCAACAGCACTCTGTAGTAACGCACATGATTTCTCGATATGATTTATGGCTTCTCGTTCTGTTAGAAATCTTTGTTGAATCTGTCAACAAATGAAAACGATAGAAAAAAAGTAACAGTGCAGTTGTTGATTTAAACAATTGCTGCCTAGGCAAGAACTTAACTCTGGTTCACGTTAAACATTACGTATTTTCGGTTTAGAGTCAAAAATATTTCATGCTAGTGTTTAAATACCTGGACAATAACCCATTTAAAATGAGTTTTTAGCTATTTGCCAAATTTATTGTTTAATTTAGCGTCGATTAAATATTAAATAATCTCTTGGGAATAACAATTTTTATATTTGTTTGTTCACATAACGCTGATGGCACTCTATCGATCACGTTGTACTTCGGCCGATAGCATATGTAAGTCATCATCCCACACATTACTTCATGGTGTTAAGTAGTTGAAGGCAGTCTGAAAGAAAACCGAAACATAAGTTTCTTCTTAGTTTGTATTTACCCCCAGCATTTCTCTGTAATCGTTGACAAAGTGATGTTACCCTATGGATTTGAACTTGCATCATTCAGGATCAAGTGTATTCCACAATATTTAAAGAGCTTAAGTAGATTTTCCGGACAATACATTCGCTGAAAACTCGGAACTCTAATTTTCTGTTTAGAGTAGTGGAAATGATTTATTCTCAAATATTATTAAGCTATAGCTACTTTCAGAAATAAAATCGAGGACAATTTACTTATTAAGAATAACCATTTATAATCCGATCAGGTAATATAGAGACAGGACCTAATCAACTATTAACAGTCATTGAACCATTTCCCTTCAGAGTAAAAACAAACTGTTTGATACGAACAGCAATATTTCTTGATAGAACTGGTCAGTACTGTATGTAAAACACTTCAAATTCAAGCAACAATGAAGACATTTGACAAGAATTTACAGTTCTATTTTTCACAGAAACTAGTTATCTTAGATTGAATTTCCAAAAGAACAGAAGTTTTATACAGCTGCAGATTGTGTGAAATCAACAAAATAAGGCTGTTAAAATTCTTAGTATCACTGATTCTTCTTGTATTGGTTAGAAAAACCCCTTAATTGCAATAGGTTTAGAAACAAAGAATTAGTATATATATATATATATATATATATATATATATATATATATATATATATATATATATATATACTTAACAAACTGACTAGAGTTAGTTTTAATCCATAAAGCGTTTAGACTATTTTGTGGTTACAGATACCCTAAGAAGAATAGAATGCAATTTAGGGACCTCCAACGGACTGTCTTCAAATATCCAATATATTCCATTGAGGTATCGAATGACTTAACCAACCGGTTATGTTGCAGATTCGATTAATAGAATTCATTTGGTATTTTGGTCTTGATGTTAAAAACTGTTTGGCTATAAAGAAAACTACCACTTAAAGACAATCTTACTTTACGAGTAGCTTCTGAGCCTGAGCTACGTGCAGCCTTTGCTATTATTCTTTTAGTGCTCTTGTCAACTAATTGAAATAGGGAATATTTTCGCGTTTCTTCAGAAACACTGGCACCTATAAGAGATAATGAAAATAAAAACAATAATGCTAATAAAATTATTGTGTAAAATTAAATTTGCATTATTATGTATAATAATGGTTAGTTTATGATAAGTTTACTCACTTACAAATTAATCTGACACTTTATCTAAATAAATACAAGATTTCTGGCATATACATCCAATAACACAGCTATTATAAGCCAACCGTTTACCAATAATTAATTCGTAAACACATAGGGGTAAACACTTTGTTGTTAATTTATCAAAGTGTAGAAGTTAGTTTTAGATGAATTATGACTTCTCAAGATGGATTACGTGTTGCAGAATTAAAACAGACTAGCACATTAGGTTCGAAATTTTGTAAACGAGTAAAGCGTACTTAAAACCCGCCAACGTAATTTGTCTCGTGACAACCATCTACGTGTACATTTTTGAACAACTATAATCTATGTGCTAGTTCCTAATGCATAATTTCATACAATATGACATTATAAGTTCTAAAGCTTTTCAGTTCCATCCTAAGATTTTATTAAACATTTAAATGTCATACCATGCATAAACACAGTTATTTAGGACTTAGAGATAGTCAACGACATAAAGATTGTCAAAATATCCACAATGTTCAATGATAATGCGTTTTGCATAATTACTTAGGGGAATTCTTATTACATTCATTGTACACCTTCTTTATAATATGTGGTTTAAGATGGAACACTTGATATCATGCTATAACTTACTCACTAAATAACAACAGTTAGAATTTTTACAATACAATATGACTTTATTTCCGAAGCTAAAACTACGTTCAGCTGAATAATCAGTGGAGTTAAAAATTAAATAGTATATACGGGCATAAAAATTATAATAGTTTAGTAAATGACAATAAGTGTTTGACCGCTTTGTTCCTCATGGATAAAATCTGATTTCTGTGTAATTTTTGATGAAAGTGTCTCTTCGTCCAAATAATCCATGGGTCTGTAAGGATAAATAAAATTATTATATTCGGAATTATGGATTGATAACGGTATATGAGGTAAGTGCTAATACTAGATAAACACCAGCTTCCTTAAGGTTTCAGATGGATTGAAGGTGCAAGATCTGAGTTTGTTAAAACTATTTGAAAGTAGCTTTCCGCTGAAATACTGAGTAGAAATTCAACCCTTCACTTCTTGAACTTCAGTCGATTTAAGTTATATCCCATTGGTAATCTGTTGTCATGAGTGGTCCTAATCTGCTTTTTGATATGGTTGCTTTGTTTCAGAACAATTATCTGCTCGTGATATTTTCATTATATATTTGTATTTAACTACAAATATTTAAAATCAAGCTGTTTGACAGTGCATCTTGTAAAAATTTATTTAGATATACTATAATACTACATTAAAAAAAATAGAAATGTAATTATGAGATACATGTAGAAGTTAGACAACTTGAATGAATACTTACAAATCTCTTTCCATCGTTTGACTTCATTCACTTCATAGGCTAATTGATCAAAGTTATTGAACATCTGCGTAGTTGCCAAACAATCTGGATGATTTATCGGTGTTACCTAAATATCGAACATAAAATAATTGTATATATAGTTCTTTGACTGATGTCGTATTTATGATGACTACTTACCGTATAAACATTTTCATACAGCCACATCATTACATAAAAGCCATAGATTCATTACTAATTAGCTTCAAAATACTCGAACAAAGGTCCTGATACAGAACTGTGACATATAGAGTAGTTAGTTCTGTAGTAAAACTGTCATTTATAGTAGATGCTAGATAAAAACTAATCTGCTCAACAAATAGTGAATATTTAACATGATAAATATTGTGCTTGCTTACAATATATTTTAAATCTTAAATGTCGAATTCGAATTGCGCTACACAAATCATTAGATTTGTGTAGCGCATATATCTTTTGGGTCTCCTTGTACCAAATTTTATGTCTTTAAATAATAAATAAATAAATATTTCTAAAAAAGTCTCTTTAAAATACAAAAATAATTAGTCGCTAGAAATAAAAGTAATAAATTAGCTGACCCTTAATATACATTGTTTTTTTCTAGTCTGATTAATAAGAGTATTAAGTGGTTTTTTAAGCTTCAATCAAACGACATGAACGAGAATCAATCAATGGATGTAACAGATTTCTTATCTAAATATTTGTTTTTGTATACGTACTCACATCTTTCAATGATTCAAACAGTTGTTTTAATTTAACTAATCTTTGAACTGGTTTAATTAATTCATCATTTAAAGTCAATATATTTGGACGTTCGCTTTGAAGATTTTTGAAACCAAGCACGGAAAACGTTTGAATTTCTGTATTCTGAAAAGAAAAATACATTCATTTCAATACAAAGACAAAATAATTGAAGTAATTTTATATCATTTCATAGGTATGTCACAGTCTTCTGCCAAGAAGAAACAGAAATATAAGTGTAACTTGGAATGTTGTTGAACTTCGTTTAGTAGATTATGTTCAGTTGTTATAGTATTGTTTAGTTGTTCATGAAACTTTCCAAAATTTCCATATCAATCTCTGTGCTACCGATCCACTTACACTATGGTAACTAGTTATTTTTTATGATGACTGATAAACAATGGATGTTACTAAGTGTGCTACATTTTAGTGGGTTATTATCATCTATCGATTTGTAAGGACGTTAAATATTATGTGGCATAATACAAGTTTATAAAACGCGGTTGATTAATAACCTATATGTATGGCATTAGATAATCCACAATTTATATGTCAATCTTTTACCAAAAATACGACTAATAGTATAAACCAATTTTCTCTTCTAAACTTAAACACAAAATTGAATTATTACACAAAACATGTTGAAGAATTGTGTTTTTATTTATGAGACTCAGAAAGAGAACAGATGTTATTTCTCAATATATCAATCAATGAATAACAGTAATTAACTAACCTTTGTTGAAGCATCTACTGAAAAATTTAAGATATACGTCTTCAATGCTTCATTTATAGATAATCTGAACGAATTTATACATGTAGCTATTAAAATAAGGCAGAAGTTGTATCCACAGCCGCATACAAAAAAAATCAAGTATATTAGTTAACTATTTTCAGCAATATATATATATATATATATATATCACATTATCTTAAGAATATGTATAAAAACATCATCTTATAATAAGTCTAGCTAGTAGATAAATACTACATATATAATCGCAATCAATACTGATTATCCTAAAATCGCTAACTCAAGTAATTGGAACATCATATTTCTGAATCTACAAAACATTCTAACCATCTTCACGTTAATTTTCTTTCTTCCAAAAAACAATTTTTAATATTAATTTATTCACTAAAATCCTAGTCTTTGTGCTTATAGTGTAAATAAGTATTATATACAACGAGACTATTACATGACTTTTTACTGGTATTATGATCATCTGTATACAAATAAATACCGAGCCAGATACGTTTAGCAAGATTTCTGGAGTTGAATGAAAGCTGTAAACCTGAGCATTATTCTCCTTAAACAGTTTAAACCATTTCCGCTGAAATAATTTTCGACTTTAGTGATAAAAAAGTGACAAGAGCAATATGGTTTCATCATAACATAGGCTCACAGAAATGAAGTCATATGTAATTAACGTACTCATTGTAAGGACAATCCTAACGTGGCAATGTCTAAAGTATATACATTTTATTGAGAAAGTTGTATTACACATTCAGCTGCTTTAAAGATATAACATTTTCAAATGGGGTAATTTTAAATATGATATATAATAATACATGTGCTAACTAACATCTTACCGATACATGCATTACCAAGTTGGTCGTCACTATATGTAGATATTTCTTTTTGTAACTCCGTTGAAATATCATCAGAAACACGTACCAATTGATCCAAATTTCCCAACAATGAATATCGATTGGATTCAGTAACCTGATTTTGTATACACATACAGTGGAGAGATAGATTACTATTTTGCTCGGTGAAAATTTGTTGAATTGACGCTAAAGTAATGATGGAGGGAATCGATTTCTTTATTTAGTAAACGAGAACTTATTCCCAATAGACGTTTATGTTTATATACATGCTTGCGGAATTTTTAACATGGAAACCAGTAAGTGTTTATTAGATCAACAACTTGTAAAGAATTAGGCTTAATCCATATTTGATCGGAGAGCTTAGATATGATAGATAACTGCATGGAGTTTCCACTAATGAATGTGTTCTCAGCTAAACTGTAGTACTCAGGACGGTTCAAATATTTTTGCGAAGGCTATCAATTTGATAATTCCTAATTTCTATTCATCTCAACGTCAAAATACAAATAAGCGGTATGTTTCGCGTGATTACCACCCCTAGTCCAGTAATGAAACTCAAATCTGATAATGTTACTGTGATTCAGGGTACTGTAAAGTAAGAGACTGAAAAATAATATGCACACAAACATGTTAGTCTAACTACTGTGGTAAAAACATTTAATAAATCTGTATTTTGTATGGAATTATTAATTCCATTTATGGGTACGATACAGGTTGGCACATAAACTATCATTTCGTCATATGCTCATCAACTTAAGCAGTTATGTGACCAGATCATTTAAAAGTCAGTAAGCTTGTTTTATTTCTCGACGATGTGGATTCTCTTTTCTATGGGAAATTGGGGTTTTCAACTTTTCGAGATTACTGTTAATTAACACATCTTTATTTCTTAGATTGTCTAAAATGAATCTAAATAATTTTTGTATACTTACATGATTTTCTGAAGTTTTTGATATTCAGACGACATTGTAGATAATCTATACTTAGTAGTTTGGTGTTGTTTTACTAAATTATCGTTTGTACTGCAGAAATATGCAAAACTACATAACATTCCTTTCAACATCAAAATAATTATGTCAGTGTTAGTGATAACCGTTTTGTTTTCAAAATAATGTGAAGAGAGATTACGACATCACTTGTAAAGATATTTTGTATAATTTTTTTAACTATTTCTAAATCTGATGTCCAGAACACTGAAATAAAATCAAGCGATTTAAAATGTGAATTAATGAATATTCATTATGCTTTTTCATCTCTAATGACGTCTGAAATTGTAATTTTTTGAAAAAGTAATAAAAAGATTGTGAATAAAACAGAGGTAAAATAAGTTGTTTATTACCGTTAAACCAACAGAATCAAATGCAGTCAAGACATTTTTCATATCTGATACAAAGTCTACTTGTGTTTTCACTAATTCTTTTACTACATGTTTTCTTTGATTAAATGATGCTGATGATGATGTTGAAGCTGGCACGGATCCTGATATCGATACTGATGAACTTGAAGAAGCAGATGAACGAGGTTTCCTGGATTTATCAGAAACATCGTCTCCATTATTTGAAGTCTCCTCAGACAAAATGAATCCATAACTCAAATTGCAGCTTCTCATTGGTCTGTAATGAACAGTATTGTCGGAACGTTTGCTCACAACTCTTCGACTGTCTATTGTAATGACTGGTAGATTCAAGCAAAATGAATGCGTTTTCTTTGACAGGTCTATAAAACAGTTGAATAGAACTATATTTTAACTGGAAACTAAAATGTCACAGTGATTAAAAATAAAATTTCAAACCTATAACTTAGAACAAATATGCTAAACGCATAGGCAATCTGTGTAAAATTTTGATGTAAGCAAAATTTAATTCATATTCTAGTTATGTAACATTTCAAAAGTAGCATATATATATATATATATATATATATTATTATATATGATTGTTTAATTAAGTTTTAAGAGAAAACATGGTTATTTCTGGTCAAATACTCCTAATGTCAGATGTGTCAACCGATGATTTCTAAAGTATATGTGGAACTCAAAACAACTGTATGCATGCCAACACAAAATTCAGAATCTTCAATACGAACGTCGAGACAGTCCCGATGTACGGAGATGGGACTTAGAGAACTACCACAACCAACATCAAAGTAGTACAGGTATTTATAAACAGTTGTCTACTCAAGATACTCAACGTCCGTGGGTCGGATACCATCAGCAACAACCTACTGTGTGAGAGAACGCACCAACTTCCATCTGAAGAGGAACTTGGGCAAACGCGTTGGGTGTGTATAAGACATACACTGAGGAAATCATCAGACTATGTCGTGAGGTGAGCGCTGAATTGGAATCTGGAAAACTTGGAAACTGAAAAGAGGAAGACCGAGAAACACATTGTTTCGAGAATCAGAAGCAGATATTGAAAGAATGAACGGCGACTGGAGACAGCTGCAAAGGATGAGTGAGGACAGGGTTGGCTGTGGAATGCTGGTGTGCGACCTAGGTTCCTCCACGATGGTTAATAGACGTAAGTAATTAAGTAACGTTAAGGAATAATGATTCATCATTTCAGTTGCCCAACAGACAAAATAGAAATAACACATTCTAGTAAGCAGATTTATAATGCTTAAAAATGTACAAGTACATAATGCGATATCATGTAGTGTGTAGCATCTCTGAGTAGCCAACAATCTCATGTTGTCAAGTCCTATTGTCGGAATAAACTATGTCATTATGCCTTACGTCAACGTTTTAGAATGCATGACTTGATATAAACGTATAGTTTGTTCGATATACATTTTTAAAATTCACTGACAATAAGCTGTGCACGCAGCTTTTATTGATCAATGGCAGTCAGTATCTATGGTCTATCCGTGCAAGTTAATTCTGTACGGTACAATCCGGCATCCGCAGATATCATCTCTTCGGTTTCTAATAAAAACACTGACTGTCATTTCTAAAGGAAAAGGGGAACAAACTTCATTGGAATTACAGAAAACACGGCTGGTGAAGGCTAGTCGGTGAAAAAGCTATGTCAAGAAATTTCCAGCTACGATACTTAACGGTTACCGGTTGAAATTCATGGTTACGGTGTTTTCACTGTACTCATAAAGTTGGCTTCGATATGTGAATAGCAAAGACTTCTACAAACATAATAATTCACCCTTGAAAGTTTGTACACAAATTTTCAAAAGGTGAACTAACGTTAGTTCTATCCTATGATTCGATTATATGTTTTGTTATTAATGAACATGGTCTTTTACTTCTCATGTTAACAGTCTAGTTTTGTTAATGAATTATAAGAAAACGTAAAATCTAAATCTGACGTCTTCAGTGATCTTACAGTTTGATATGTGGCAAAACCATTCTAATAAGTTTTGATTAGACTACATCATCTAACTAACCGATATTTTGGTGATCACTGGATAGACTATAGATCTAGTGATTAAAACAACCTGCTAAAAAGTAAGTCAGCTTCTTAGAACTTTTGCCATTCACCATTCTTTTCAGGTTAATGCACTATCAATTTTTTCACTGTTCCTATCTTCATTTTTAGCAAGATTCTGTCTCTTGAAAGTAAAATGCTGGGTAACAAACAAGGATTATCCTTACTATTAAGAACAATACAGTAATAAACTCTATCACCACTCTTATATTTTTCTGTTTCTGGTAAATATATCATTCGATCACTGACGATAAACTTCATCTACTGATGCCTTCCAGATATGATATGTACAGTACAAATGAGAAATTAAATGATATTTTGTCTAAACAGCATTTTTGTAGAAAAATAGAGGTTTCAGACATCGAGATTCCATAGTACTCTAAAATTAAACATATTTGCTACGCTCAGTTACCCGTTTATTCTATGCTGTTGGTAGCTTTGATAATAATAATAATAATAATAATAATAATAATAATCAGATATGAAGATTCACATTTTATTGTTGTTAAGATTTTCAAGTTTATTACTAATGATGTCTCTAAGACTAAAATCTTCAGTCTCTTTTTGCATGGTATTTCTCTAAATAGATACCACGATATTCCCTGTAAGTATATTGTTTGCCATCCCTAAAGCATTTTGAGTGAGTAGCTGTGCACTCAGTTTTCAGTGGCAAAAAATTGCTCAGTGAGATGCAAATACGTCTCATTGATAAGTCATAATTAAGATAAGACTATTTTGGGGACAAATCTGTAAGCTACATTCTTCATGGGTTTATTCAGCAACAAAGATGGTAAATAGTTAATCAATTCATTCGGGAGAGAATGCGATGCGAATTGTCCATTTACTTCACTTTAAAAATTAACAGAACCGAGTTGTGGGATGGAAAAATACACTATATGTTGTGTACAAAATAACTGTAATAGTATTTTAAGCAGAGATGGATTTTGATCAGGAACGAAATTCAGTTCAGAGTGACCTTACTGAGGATAATCAAAATATTGTGAAATACTTTATTATTATTTAAAAGATTAGTTCACTGTTTTTATGGAAGTAAATTATTATGAGATTATACAAATATCAAGTAAAAAAATCAATTATTATTTGATGTATAATCCCGGATAACTGCTAAATACCTTATTAATTTTTGCGACATTTCCAAATGTTTCTGCAAAAGGCTTTTAGTCTAGGTTATGGGGTGTCATGCAAAATGTGGTGAAATCAGTTAGCTGAGAGATCCGATTAACACTTAGTGTATCGTTTAAAGATAACGCTAACAAAAATCATGAAATAATGGTTTTATAAAATATCAAACATACAATAAATTAGATAACTTTATCCTCATAACTTTAAAGTCAAAATTTTAATGTCTTCAATATGTACAACTTAAAATGATTCATTGTTATACTTCAGTTTACTCTATCTTTTTTGGCCTTTAGTGCGATTTATACGTAGTGAAATCTATCATTTATGTTATCATTATGTTTAACAAAAACCCATAGAATAATCGTAAACACTAGAAACTTTAATATATTAACTACTTCACATACAAATAAATCGTCTCATTTTTACATTGTGGACCGAAGGACAACTCTATTAGCTTTGATGAACCAAAATGACCGATTGGAAAATTTCTGTTTTCTTTATGGGTGCACTAAACTTTAGTTAGACTCTTGAGGAAATACAATGGAATTTCCTACTAGTGATATTTAAATGTTCTACATATGCTGTGTAATAATAAATATCCAACCGGATTTATATTCAAAAGAAATCGTATGCAGAAGTAACAATTCTAATGTTTAGTAAGGTAATGTACATCAAATAACCCTTCATGACTTATTGATAAAAGATATTCTGTTACATTATTGTATGTCCTGATTATTTTAGAAGCTTTTATGACATATTATCTGTGTGTATTTGCGTGTCCTTTTTTAATAAATGATGAGCTTTAATTTCTGAAGCACTTCTGATTAAGGCAACAACATCAGTAATATCTCATAAGTTTTTAGTCGTTCTTTTTGTAAATTCCATCCAACTTGAATTCACAGCTTTTCTTATCCAAGCACAACCATTTGGACGCGATAAACTGTTTACTATGTAATCGATGACAAAATCATTCATCGCTTCCGCTATTTTTAGTTAATGTATAATATTTTCGAGTTTTTATGCTTAGTTCCCTAGATATTACTACACCTATCGTCTTTGTTGTTTTGTATGCGGAAAAAGTTTGATAAGGGTTTAATACTATATCGGTGAAATCGAAATAAACTTAACATATAAGAATTATTGTTCTTCCGATAAGAAGGAATCCGAGAAGTTGAATTTAGAAGGATATCTTTGTTTTCAGTAAAAAAGCACAGTGCAGATGAATGGGACAAAAGAAGTCAAACCTTAAACCTCGTTTTCAAAATTCCATAATATACAAAACGAAAACTAAAAAACAAAAATAGAGATTCGTGAATAAATTTTAGACAGTAATAATTTGCATTATAAAGAAGACTAAAGCATGAGAAATCCGTTAAAAAGGACAGAAACACTGGAGGTTTTCTTTAGCAAAGTCTAAAACAAATAATCGCTTATATATCTTCAGAAGTTTGCATACTTAACGATTCTATTTCGTCATAAACACAACAATTGGAAACGTAAATAGAATATATTTGTAATATCCCAATGAGTAGAAAAATTAGGCTTTCTGACGTTTCATGACTCAGTGTAAGCCACTACTTTAGAGAATAAATAACCAAACCAAAACTATTCTAAGTTTAAATAGTACAAAGGACCAACGCAAGAATATTATGTGCGATCAATCAAAAACAGATCTGAACAAGTCAATCTACCCAATGCTTAATTTACTCGAAATTATCAAGTCAAACCTTGGTATTGATACCTACAATCAAAAACGTATTGTATTAACTTACTAATTTCATGCTGAATTGTTTCCAGTGAAATTTGATTGTCTCTCTAAAACACATACAAGACAGATAAGAATAAATTTTTGGCGTTTTTAGACTAGGATTGGAAGACAAATTTGTTGTCTAATCATAACAGTTTATCAAACTAAAAATCTATGCTAAAATTCGCTTTCGTACAAAACATTTACTGTTCGGATGTATTTCATGCTACAACCTAAGAAATGAAAGAGTGAAAGTAATACATCTATACACTGTTTGATTTTCCTGAAAAATCAGCATAGAGTGGGAAACGTCAGTGTAGTACGTGTTGACCGACGTAGTTAACATAATTTCCTAACTGCAGATAATATCCTCTAATAAAACACAATGTGAAAATGGAGTTTTTTTTCAATGGTTATTCGATAATAACACCTTATGGTACCATATATGGCTGGAAGATACTTTCAGAGTAATTATATCTAGTTAGTTCAGAGCGTATCTTCAATAATCCACATTTAAAATTACAATAGGTTTAAGCTAAAACCATAATAATCTGAATACTCTATACGTTCTCACTACGATTTACGAAGAAAAGTAAAGCATGACTTATTCTATCAGATATCATCAAAATTACTTACTATTTACTAATGGGAAATGTACTACTAGTGTTACATGTTTCCTATTTAAGAATATATATTTTATTATTTGATATCCATGTAGTAGAAAGTAGGTTGTGTTTTATCTTTTCACTGGTTGGTTATTGTTTTAGAATGTCTGTAAATGTATTGGTTAGTAAATACATGTCTATGCATTTTGTTGCACCTACTGAATAATATTTCTATTATAATTTATTTTTATACTTAATTAGTTGTGGGACCTTCATTCAAATGGTATACAATGGATCAGACCTGGAGAGTTTGCTTTCAGAATAAAAATATCCAACATGTAATCCACGCTAAAAGTTGTTTAACTAGCTGACATATAAATAACGAGACTGACAATAATAAAAAAACACCTATTTTGGTATTCATTACGATCATAATTTGCAAAAATCACACGATGCTATAGGCATTAAAATTATATTTTGAAAGTCTTTTAATAAGATTTATTCGATCACATTTACAGGAAACATTACTAAATCTGAAAGCAAGTCGAAGAGGTATATTTTTAAAATTGGATAGATAATATTATGATAATTTTTTTATTACAAAAATCTACTGAGAATTAATACATTATTTTTACTGAGTACAGTAAATAATAATGGATGGAGTCTAGCTCTCAGTAGAACTCAGGGTAAACATTTCATCTTATTTAGGACTCCTCAGCTTAATGAACATGCATCCTAGTGTTGATATTCATACTTGTACTTGAACAATTTTCCTTCTGTTATCCACATAGCTATGAGTTGAGGTAGATACTAACTTGTTGAACTATTGTTAGCATTATTATTATTATTATTATCATTAATGTTGAATTATCCTGGTGTTAATATTAAGGACTGGGCTTTGTTCCGACTTTTCGCATATGTGAATTCTTGGTGAATTTCCTGATTAATTCATTTGAGTTTAAGTTTTAGTAAAGATGAAGTATGGCTAGCAGTGGCATTCTTGACACGCGTATGTGCTCCTCGTTAGTGCTTAATATCAGCAATTTGGAAACTCATACCTCAACGTATATATGACTTAAAATTTTTTGGACAAGCTAGTGACCATCTCAACTCAGTAGCTCAGTGGATAAGGCGTTGGGCGAAAGGCACTTATTCGAGCTTCGATATGAGTGTCAACACTATAATGCATGTGCATCTAGCTGGTAGGTCCCAAGTAGGAATAAATGAGCCTCGAATACTTCAGTTCCATTCATTATCTAAGTCCCCTTTAGCTTAGCGGTTGTATTTATGAGAACTTACCATCATTTGAGCAATTATATAACTGTTTTCAACTATCTTAAAAATATATAATGGAGCACACACTTTTTTAAAATAATCCAACGCAGAATCGATAAACTTCGAAACAATTATTTACACTTTCGAATATGGATTAATGGTAATGAGTTAATTAAACCCCACGGAATTTTCTAGAGAACCCTGAAAATACATTTTAGTATGCAGCGAAAAGTATTTTTTTTAACTACTAAATGGGAAGTAAATACAAACTATTTACATTGTATTCATTTTATTTATATCTAATATCATAACTAATCTGTTCTCAGATGCACAATTTATCACTATGTCGTCAATACAAAATTCGGTAATACTACTTGTAAGTGTTTGGAAGTATCATATATAAATCCTCGGTTAGTACAATAAAGCCAATGTACAGAATAAAATGGTGATAGACAAAAATGTTTAGTAATGTTTGTTCATTTTCATTACATATTCTCGAAGAATCTAAAAAATTTCAACGATCGAGGTTCTATCAGAGTTTATAAATTAGTTCTTTACTTTTTTGCTTTTGTTACTACTTATGGTGAGAAAAACACCGATTTTCATGCAGAATATTTTATAATTAACAGTTAGATTCACATAAACAAGAACTTTATGTTACACTTCGGTAGTTACCAGTTCTACGTAATATGTCAAATTTAAGCTGATATGAGGTTCCAATAATCACACTGTATTACTGCAAACTATTTAGTTAGTAATGCTTATGTTTTGAGCTTTTTTACCACTGACTACATCTTAATCTTTTAACACTTAAATTAATCTTCCAGTAGGTCAAAATAAACCAATCAATCATATGTTTTGATTGCTTATGAAAAAAATATAAAGCAAGAGAGTGGTGTAACGTTGAAAAACTCATCTGTTTGATGTCATCATTGTTTTTTTCTGTTGACTTGAAAGTACATTTAGCTCAGGATGCAAGCGAATGATACTAACTTTTCAAGACATACAAGTAAATTATACTAAAAAATATCTACCAACTGTCAATATGATAAAAACATCTACGACGGGCGATTCCTCCTAGTGTAGGAGTAGGCTGGAAGAAATATAAGGCCATCCAAACCAAATCATGGCATTGGTTCATGAAGTCCTTGAGCTGAGCCACCTTAATAGGTGTAGAATACCTGGTCAAGGCCCACGTGACTATCGTGCCCAATAGCTAGAGACTTTAAATGATATAACTCAAAATCTTTTGCAATGGTGCAGGTACATCCGTTCTTTGTCTTCCCCCAAAGCTTGAGATTCTAAATTTCCCACCATTTTTTTTGTATTTCAATAACCTGTATTTTTCTCTTCAATCGTATCTTCTATGATTAATCTTCCCCATTACCATTGATGCTATTAGTACCTCTATTATTCCTGGATTTGGCCTTATAACGTCATCTCTATGTGTTAATGGGATGTCGTAACTTCAACCGATGTATACACTACAGGTTCTACGTCGTGACTGACACACTAACTACAATGACGTTATTACAAATGTTAACGAAAAATGTCGTTGGTTGGTTATATCAAAAATCTGAAAATTCGTTTTCGTTTAACGATCAGTAAGATGGTGTTACAAGGCCTAGTTATTGAAAAGTAATTAAACGGCCTGATGCACAGCTTAGAACTTTTTATATTTAGTTTAATGGAAAATAAAAGTAAAACACCTTTTTATCAGACGTCGCTTGATATCCAAAGCTCACTGCTTATTTTATTCAGCTGTTTTGAACGTACTCTCATAATGCTTAATTTTTCAGAAAATGTTTAGTATTTTCGAATAAAGTGTTTAGCAGTTTGTTCATTAATATAGCATGCACTTCCATTACAATAACTATCTCAACCAACAGATATCTTCAAAGCCTTCGGTAAGGGTCATTGAATCTTTGATATAGTGCTATATTCTAGTTTGAAGCTCCTACATCAGACTCCTATGTTGTATTTCTTGTTTAAATTCGATACAGAAAAGGCCAAAGATTATGGTATACACTTATACACTAACCAGTGATGTTATTTTATATAGTTTGTAAAATTCATTATTATTATTATTCTTTTAGCCATATAATGCATAACTTTAAAACAGTTTTAATGTGATAAAAACAAACAAGTTTCTGATGTTAGCACTGTACATTTACATTTTACACTACAATCAGCAGATAATCTGATTGGTTGGTGAGACATGACAGCTCACATGACTGATGCTAAAAATAAGCCTTCACTAAACTGCTTTCATATTATACGTGTTATGTCTATCCTATGAATTAACTATTGACACGCTTTAAACAAAGAATTGATAACTCAAAAAATTTATAACCAAGGTTTGCATTAAAAAATCGATATGTTTAGCTACCTTCATACTGTTATCTCATGATAAAAAGAATAGTAAAGTACAAATATATTTGTTGCTGTATAAAAAGAAGTCGATTCACAACAACTCACTCGAAACGATAAACGTCTCTGTCGTTCTTCAACTGGGACAACTACAATTTAATAAATAAAAAGATAAAAAAGGAAAACATTTTGGAAAAGATGGTCTAAATAACAAAAGTAGTGATTAAAATATATTACACTGGATACATTTGTTTATAGGTGTTCTCAAAATACCTCAGATAATGAGCTTAATAATCCTACAGTGAATATAAATGATCTTTCTAATCACTATACTTTATTCCAATTAAAAAATGACAGAATAATACTAAAGCTCAATAACCTACATATTTTCCAAGATATAGAAATATAGTCTGTAACTAAAGACAAGTGTTCATCTAAAGGTTATTTTCCGATCTTAAGTTCGAACTAACAAATCCTTCAGTCTTTTAAAAACAGCACATCAAATGAAAGCTTGCTGGTAATATGGTTAAATTTATTAATACAGTAATAATTGTGCAAGAGTAAATACAGAAAAATGTACATGCTTATTTGTCATAAAATGTCGTCATGGAAATTTAAGTTTGCTTAAGTGATTCATAAAAATCACCGGAAAGTTATAACGTCTGTAGTTGTGCTAGTTGGCATGCACCAACTAAACGTTTGCACTTACGTCATTAAATTTTACAGTAGGAAACGTTACTGCTGAACGAAATAAAGTTTTTATCATGGCAATATTCATCATATAGTGAATTTCTGACGATATAAGTAAGAAACAAGACCAACGCTACATAGTGTCATATTATGATTAGCCACACTTCTGGATTTACGATCGATCAAATATTAAATTCAATTTGTATTAATGACTATTATTTTTCAAGTTTGAACACAAGGAATCGACTCCATATTGATTTGGTTTTGTTAAAAAAAACCTTTTTAACTAATTAATAATCACATGAACACACCTTTTATAATTTTGAAATTTATATAACTACTTAATTTAACGATCATCCGCGAAAAGTGATTTTTATTATGATTGAAATAATGTGACTTTTAATTAGGTATAGATTCTTTTAGTTGTTTGAGAGTAATCTCACGTGTTATAGCTACTTATTCCTTCAGTAAACTGTCTTTTTGACTCTTTTTCTTTGTCACAATCAGCTGTTTATAAGACAGTCTGTTGATGAAACACTCAATGCTATCCTTAATTTATGGAAATGTAAATAAAAACTATTCTTTACTTCGTAGGTCAAAATAAACCTATCTAGAAAGTGAAAACAAAACAGATTTCATGTACCGAATAAAAATTATTCAGATTAAGCACATACCTATAGTTCTGCCTTCGGAAGATATCATGTAACTATTTGGATCTTTGATATCATTAGTGGTAATTAAGAAAACAAGAAAATTTCGGAAATTTCTGGACCAATCATAAATTTTTAATTTTGCATTTTAAACCCTCTTGAAGAAAATCCTGAAAGACCTAGAATATGTTGTCCCTTATTGACCTTTATCTTTTCTTTATTCCTTACATTACTGCCCACTTATTATTGTACCCTATCTCTTCAAAATTGTTTCCCAGTTAACAATACAGAAACGATGTAAAATAATAAACCAGAGTTGAAAAATATTGTTGAAAGACAATATTTATTTGTCGTTCAGTAGAACATAGTGTTACAAAACGGTTGAAGTATTTCCATCCCATGTACTATCACTACATAATAAGCTCATGATTATCACTGAGCTAGATTCACATCTCCAACATAAGAAATTAGGATATACCCATAATAATACTAAAAATAATAAAACTAACAGTATAACGGTTAACCGACATAATAAGTGTACCCACTGTGAAGTACAAGTAGTAATACATACATTTTAGAAAACGTAGCGTACATAAAGTATACTGTCTTAAAAATTTCATGCAATTAGTTCCCTTTATGAATTTAAATAAAGCAAGAACAAATATTGATGCAGAATAGTATGAATTCATAATATTTCGAGGTTTCCCGTTAGCTGCTTACAACCAAATATGTAATAGAATTTTACATTGAGATAAGAAATAGTGTGAAACAACTGATATAAATGAGTGTGAATGATTGGAATAACAAATGTTTACAATAATAACTATATATATATGTAAGAACAGGTCAGAGGTTAATTGGTGTTAGAATTAAGGAAACAATCCAGGATGGGTGGTGCAGTAGTTGACTGGAGTTCATAAATTGTGTGGTAATTTTAGAGGTAGTGAAGGATTCATGGAATTAAATAATGATAAGATAGGTTACGTAATAACTGAATAGAGTTTGAAAAGTTCACATAATTTAAGATGGCAAGTGGGCGGAAATGTATGAATGAAAAGTTGGCTTAAGAATGCGGTAATGGGGGAGGAATATAACATCAAATAAATATTTTACACTAAATAAATGAATAAAATGACATAAATAACCAAAAAATAATAAAAATAAAACAAAAATGGATTACCAGGGTAATAATAAGTTTACTACTGTCTCTTTTTGAATACATAAATCCGGTTTAAGTTTTTTTATCGCGATCACTTCAGCAAAACGGAGAGCAGTTGTATTTTTTTGTCTGCTGATAATTTTAAAAGCGTTAGGAATGTCGATAGTATGCCCGGTGTCAAGTAAATGCCGAGCTATTGCACTGTTGAGAGCCCTAGTCCCTCGCAGCCTCACGTTTCTTGGAGCATACTGTTTTAATCAAATTCTCATTTTTTATTAATACTCTAAACTATCAGTGACCCTAATATGCAACACAGAAGTTTCAGATATTGATTAATACTAAATGTTTCCAGTTGTTTAATATCTTTTAAGTGAAACAAAGTGTATATACTATCAATAGTATTGATTAACAATGTAAAGTATGCTATTTGTTCTTACTTGTGATATTATTAAAACTCCGACGCTGTTGTTTGAACGATGGGTTATGATCTCTGTCAAGATAATAGATAATTGACACATTTTTCTGTTCACTGTAACGTCTCATCACGAAGGGCTCTTTATCTGAACATTTTATGGCTAGTTACAGATTTTTGAATATTAAAAAAAACAATTTACTTTCATTTTTGTTTGTTACATGTAACATTTGACTGAGCTATTTGTGTCACCTACAATAGTTCAAAAAATATCAAGTAAATGGTCAAGAAATGTCCACTGCTTAGATAAATATAGAAAGATTCAAGGATCACTCATAAAGCTACCGAGAAACTATAAAATTTGAAATAATGGAAATCTAATAGCGTGCTCAACACAAGACTTGCAACCGTTTGGATTATTCCCTCTTGAGGTTATCATTTGTCAATGAGTAGGAGACCCAAAACAGAATGAATAGTAATTCAATAATGTCATATTTCCCTTGGTTTCCAAAACTATGTTAACATGAAATTTATCTTCGACCAACTCAAAAAAAAATTAATAGCAGAATCAAAAAACAACTTGGTTGATAATAACCTTGAGGTTCGTTTGTAATTTTTAATGAACTCATAGATACACTATTTGTATTGCTATCTGATCCATACTGTTAGTTGCAGTTATGACATTTTTAGTGCCTAGAAATGTCAGGAGCTATACAAAAAATATTTATAAGTGCTTGCTCTTATTTTTTTTAAAAACAAATAGTATAAAAACTTAACAGTTCTTTTTAAAACCAACTTTATATGCTGTACACAAATAAAGGGAAATCCTCCCATTCCTTTAAATAATATTATTCCTTATCCTTTGTCCTTTCACTCATTAAGAGATGTAAGAGAATAACAACCAACACATCATTAAATCATAATAGATAACTTTTATCTGCTATTTTTACAGAGTTCTTCTTTAGACTGTGAAAATAACTTTACTTTGTCTCACTGATTTTGTAATTACTTTTCGAAAATGCAAATATGGCTATTCTTGTAACAGTGACACTGGGTTTAAATAAATAGTACACAACAGTTGACTGTGATTTAAAAACACCGTATGCTACTAAAGATTTTGGATAACAATGTGAGCTTTTATTGTGAGACTAGTTACAAACATTTCACATGCATCTGATTTCATATTCATCATATTCACTTTGGAATAAAGTAGTTAGTTACGTTTGTAGTATAAAATAAAAACGTCCCTAGACTTAAATAAGGCTACATTAAAGCATATTTAACTTGAATGATCTATGAAGAGAAATGAAAGAATAATGTAATGACAGAGAGCTTCGGGTTAATATCTTCAAAGCACAATGATCTAGTAATCTGCTAAAGTTGCTGAAACAACAGACGGAGCTTTAACTTTAAAACAACTGAGCAGTGTTGTGTTTAAAGGTTTATTTAAGTTTGTAATTTTCTTCTATAAGAAACGTTTGTTATATCACACAAAAATTCAATGCCGATTTTGAATACTACTTACTGTTCGGGAGTAAGGTGAAAAAAATTTCGAAACTTAATTTAATCAAAAGCTAGGTTGTTTCATTTGTGATAAGAAATAGGTTAACTGATTTAGTAATAAGTATGATAGTAAATATTTAAAATATACACAAAACAAATAAACACACTAACTGATACTTGAAATTCGTTATAACATTGTGTTAATTTATATTACGTCTTTCGCTTTACATTGTGAATCACTAATGTATATGAGTATCACTAAAGACAGCATAGCATTCACTAAAACGATAGTTGAACTTATTGGTAAAATTAGTTTTAATAACTATAACTAGATCAATATATTATTGAAAAGATCAAGTATTCACATCTTACTTTTTTAAAACTCAAGTTTGTGGTCTTCAAAGTGATAGACGAATTGAGTGTAAGAAGTTGGAGAGAAATATATAAGAGCTTGAATAAACATTCTACCTCATTCTACTTCTCTTCACTATCCTACCTACTAGCAAATAAAATGATAAATCAAAGCAAGCGTGAACCGAGAAGAAACACTAGGTTTCAAGTAGATGAACTCAAATATAAATAAATAATTAGTGATAAAAGATATTGTGATGCTTTATTAAAACAATCAAAATAGTTAAACTTATCAACTTTTACTTAAGTGTCAGATGAAATGTATGTTCATCAATGCATCAACCCGTCTAAAACACTCTAGTTTTGTTAATGAATTATAAGAAAACGTAAAATCTAAATCTGACGTCTTCAGTGATCTTACAGTTTGATATGTGGCAAAACCATTCTAATAAGTTTTGATTAGACTACATCATCTAACTAACCGATATTTTGGTGATCACTGGATAGACTATAGATCTAGTGATTAAAACAACCTGCTAAAAAGTAAGTCAGCTTCTTAGAACTTTTGCCATTCACCATTCTTTTCAGGTTAATGCACTATCGATTTTTTCACTGTTCCTATCTTCATTTTTAGCAAGATTCTATCTCTTGAAAGTAAAATGCTGGGTAACAAACAAGGATTATCCTTACTATTAAGAACAATACAGTAATAAACTCTATCACCACTCTTATATTTTTCTGTTTCTGGTAAATATATCATTCGATCACTGACGATAAACTTCATCTACTGATGCCTTCCAGATATGATATGTACAGTACAAATGAGAAATTAAATGATATTTTGTCTAAACAGCATTTTTGTAGAAAAATAGAGGTTTCAGACATCGAGATTCCATAGTACTCTAAAATTAAACATATTTGCTACGCTCAGTTACCCGTTTATTCTATGCTGTTGGTAGCTTTGATAATAATAATAATAATAATAATAATAATCAGATATGAAGATTCACATTTTATTGTTGTTAAGATTTTCAAGTTTATTACTAATGATGTCTCTAAGACTAAAATCTTCAGTCTCTTTTTGCATGGTATTTCTCTAAATAGATACCACGATATTCCCTGTAAGTATATTGTTTGCCATCCCTAAAGCATTTTGAGTGAGTAGCTGTGCACTCAGTTTTCAGTGGCAAAAAATTGCTCAGTGAGATGCAAATACGTCTCATTGATAAGTCATAATTAAGATAAGACTATTTTGGGGACAAATCTGTAAGCTACATTCTTCATGGGTTTATTCAGCAACAAAGATGGTAAATAGTTAATCAATTCATTCGGGAGAGAATGCGATGCGAATTGTCCATTTACTTCACTTTAAAAATTAACAGAACCGAGTTGTGGGATGGAAAAATACACTATATGTTGTGTACAAAATAACTGTAATAGTATTTTAAGCAGAGATGGATTTTGACCAGGAACGAATTCCTGGACGTATGTTCCCTGTTATTTAGCATTCTTCAACAAAATTTACCAGGATTTCTCTGCTTGTTACTGTCCATATCTGCCTAGAAATACTTGTACCCTAATGTCAGTATCGAGGCAAACGACACATGATGCAAATTGTCAAAAGAGACTGATTAATTGCAGCCCTTAACATCAACAATACGTATAAATTTGATGAGTATTTGCTTGAGTTTCTGAATGTTCTCTTTACAATCCACATGATGGTTTACACGATCTTTAATTATGTATATTTCCATTTATTTAAAAGTCATTTATAATTCCCTTAAACGTGAGGTGATCAATCCTCACTGTGTAAAAGATGGGCTACTAGCTACTAATTAGTAGGGATTTAGTTCATCGAAGAAAAACAATTCGAATCATGTCAAACGTTTTTAATCCAAACATTTTTAAATAACAGTTGGCGAAAAAATATATCAACACTTCATAAAAACAGTATTATCAAGAATACCAAACAAGCCTCTTTCATAATTTGTAATTCTTCATACCATGAGCTTCTTGCTTGTCTATATATTATAAACCAGATCAACTTACGTTTTATGATATTAAAATAGCATTCACAGGCCTGATAGTACGATTCCTATATCTAAAGCTTTTTCTAGACTGGTAGTAGTTATGTAAAATTGTCAAATGGTAATCTTACTTTTGTTACCATGATTCTACTCCTACAAAAGTGAATTTATCATCCACTGAGTAAAATTTTGGTATGGAGAGGATATATAATTCAAAACGTGAGCTACAAGTATTTATTAATGTCATTAAAAAGCATAAAAGTGTTATGTAGATTTTTGGTTGAATAAGTCTGAGCTTAGTTTTTAATACTCTTGTTTCTTAAAACCAACGTTCACGATTTTATTAGTTACTTAAAGAGATGATACGCTTTCAAAATGACATGTAAACTTACGTTCTAAAATCCAGCATTATTATTACAAAGACAATCAACGTATAAGTATACATAGGGAAAAGACTGATAGCCTAATTCGTTGATTTTTTGAGAATTAACCCGTGCCATATTTATCTATCCTATAGTTTTAATCAACTTCTGCCAATGCTAAGTCACTCAAGCCAGTGGTCACGTTACACATTGATCAACGGAAGTCACTTAGATAAATGAAAGATTGGTTACTACTCAGTGATTAATTAATTGCAATTATTACAGTCCTACAGGAAGTTAGTTGAGCTCGGAAAACTCCAATAGTAACATAATAAACCTTGAAGCTGGATGGTGCGGATTCGAATCTCATAACAACTAACGGTTCCCTAAAGGGTATGTCCTGGTGATTAATCTTAGCAAGAACGAAATCCAGGTCGAGCAGTTTTTCCAGCCAACGCTCTCCAAGCATTTAACATCATAACAGACCTATAATTAGCTTGAAATCTTCATGATTTTTAAATAGCAAAACAATCTCAGCTACTGAATCAATTCTAAGTACAAGAGAAGGACTCTATATTTTTTACTTAATATGCAAAACTGCCTTTGAATAAAACGATATGGTGAAGAAGTGCACAAAAATGAAACTCAAACACTCCAAAATAATTTTCACAATATTGCAAATCTATTTTCTTATGAAATATGATGCATTCACGTAATTACCCGAGTTTTCAATTAATATTAGTGTCACTGCTAAAAATGTCTTTGTTGATTCATAGGATAGTGAATTCAGCAACAACTTCAAGTTCATCCTCATAATCTGTACACAGTAATGCAAAATGTCTACATTCGGTAAAATTATGTATGATTTGCGCTAAATAACCTAGGTAAAGTACAATGACTGTTCTTACTCGTCTTACAAACCTAGAGAAAGACGAATAAAAACATTTAATTCATGTTTTGAACACAATATTAATTAATGTATTTAAAGCACATGTGAAAAAGCTCTTATTTGTTTTATTGATTGAAAAATGAAAATCCAATTTTATCAGTTCTTAAATACTCATCATGAAGTATCATTCTTTATAGTATTTTGAATAAATCAGCTGTTTTTCTCTATTCATGGAGTTAATTAAAATATAACTTAAGTCAATAGTATACTTTAAAATATCTTTTCCTTGTTCAATAAAAGGGTTACACAAAATATCACTTTTTTGAACATTTACGATTCATAGGTATTATACTGAAAAGAATTTACATATTCATCCATCAAACTTCATAAACTCTGAATTATTTTTCTTGCATGTGTTTGTCATGAAATCAAATAATTTTGAAGTACTAAATAAAGTATAATTCAAAGTTTATGTGATCTCTGACGTTTCTTCACTTCCACACTGAAAGCTACTTACTTTTTAAAATGGAACGTGTAGTTGCCTGAACAACCATGACAGGGATGACATTAGGACGCAAACCATTAACAATTTGAGCTTACAAAATCGTGTACTAATTACGTTTCTGATCTTATGGGCATAACTGATTTCTATCTACATATTTGAACGTTTTGACACAAAGTTTACCACCCGATTGATTTGGCTTTTTTATCTGAATAGCTGAAATACAATGTTAAATTCTTGCCACTACTAATATCACTAAATATAAATTCGAAAACAGTTGTTGAAAGATGGAGTTGGAGCGTATAACCTGGGAATGAAGCATCAACAAACTATTTTCAAGCTTTTACAAAGAAAATTAGTTTCAAACTTAAGTAAATGCACACCATGCTGAGGAACAGTCGTAACTAAAAGAAATTTTAGATATCTAGAAACTTGCAGGAGAAAACACACCACAGTCTTCGATACTGACAAACAAATAGCATGTTGTTTGGAACATTTCGCTTTTGATATTACTTACGATTGTAGAACTTATCAAAACAACGGATAGGCAGCAATTTTAAGGATCAAATTAGTCGACACTAACGGCGTCGTTTTAAATAATCTACTTCATAGCTGGCAAAAGTACCTATTTCGTCAGCATATTATTCCACTTATTTGTTCTCAAAAGCTACGGATTTCAGTAAAGTGTTAAACTTATTGTTAAATTAAAAACACCAGATAACTCATCGCTAGTCTAAGTTTTATACAAATATTCAAACATTTTTTACAATGGCATCATAACACTTCTCTTGAAATCAAATTACTCTCGCATACCAAAACTACTACTGATGCCTTCTGCGCGCCTAGATTAACTAGACGAATGTGTAGTCAGGACAGTGAACAGCTTACTACTAGCTTATTTCATGTGAATTAATCATAGAGCCAGTACCAGTCAATGATTTATCGGACTAATAGTTTTCTGCCAAAGTCGGTCCTACTAAACGCCCTTCAAACGGGAAAATCAATAGTCATTCGTGTTGAAAAACCACATCCACATGCACAGGAGAAGTACATCTAATCCCTTTTATTACCTTAACCAACCTCAATGATGATAAACCAATAGTGATTCCAACTATGGAACGACCCGATTTAACTCATGCAAATACAACTCTTCCCACTCAAATATAATCGTGTCTGTTGTTTTTTTCATGTATCTTATTATTATTATAGATTCAACGTCTATATCAGACTACCAAACACATTAATAATTTACTAAGCACTCACGCCACTTCTATATGTTTTATTGGATCCATATGACTTCATACACTATACACAAAACACTTGATCGAATTCGCAAGTAAATTATTATTTCCGTTATCTGATTCACATGTATTATGATCATCAATCTTACATTTTCATTCACCGTACAAGCCTACCCAAATTAAAATTGCATGTAACTCATCTCAGCATCAAAATTTAATTTAATTTCACAGGCCTATATTACATACTCTAATTTTAAACGACGTATTTCGCCTTAAACCTGGCTACTTTTCGTATTAATAATTTAAATATATGGTTGGATAATTTTAAAGAAATTTACTGAAAAAATACTATACGTTCATTTATATCTGCACAAATTAACACTTGTAGGTCAAACAGTTCATTGGCCTTAAGGTTTGACTTGATGATAATTAAATAAATTGGGATTTAACTATATGTCAAGCAACACTCTAAAGTGAGGTATAACATAACTGAAATATTATACTGTATAACTGAGCCACTCTAATCGTTCTAATTTAAAAATCTCACTGTATTGCCCTCTGTTTTATACGCTAAATACTACACCCAACATTTAAACTGATCATTGACCGATTTACTACACCTGAACAAATTTTGACTTTTTCTGTGGTTAAATACTTCGATCTTCAGCTATATTTTACTTTCAACAGTTACTTCTTACTAAACTGAACCAAAATTAGTCATTGTGCAAATCATTTATAAACTAAATAATACAAAAAACATAGGCATTATGCTGCCAACCGAGATCATAATGAATTCGAAAACCCCGTCTAATGGGACCACATTTGATACTCACTTTCGTGCAATACGTGGGCAGCACATTTATATTGGTTGTTTTTTTGCTTAAAGAGTAGATGCTCATCTAAGCTCAGGTAGGGACGCAAGAACTGTCCTTATGTCTACTTAAATTCAATCATAAACGCATTTAAGTGTCCATAGGGTTTAAAATAGTCAAACGTATCTAGCATGAAAACTCGATACGTATGACAAGTAACAATAAATATGATAAGCTCTGACAATCCGACTTCTCAGATGATCTGACTCTGCTGTTTCATACACATCAACAAATGCAGTTCAAGACAACCAGTGTAGCATCAGCCTCTACAGCAGTTAGCCTCAACATCCATAAGGGAAAAGGCAATATCTTCAAATGCAACATGGAGAATGCCAATACAATCACACTCAATCGAGAAACTCTGGAATAGGTGGCAACTCCCACATGTCCGAACAGCATCATCGATTAACAAGAAGGATCGTCAAATCAAGGGTGATATTCCTGCAACTGACGAATACATGGAACTCAAAACAACTGTATGCATGCCAACACAAAATTCAGGATTTTCAATACGAACGTCAAGACAGTCCCGGTGTACGGAGCTGAGATTTAGAGAACTACCACAACCAACATCGAAATAGTACAGGTATTTATAAACAGTTGTCTACTCAAGATACTCAACGTCCGTGGGTCGGATACCATTAGCAACAATCTACTGTGTGAGAGAACGCACCAACTTTCATCTGAAGAGGAACTTTGGCAAACGCGTTGGGTGTGCATAAGACATGCACTGAGGAAGTCATCAGACTGTATCATGAGGTGAGCGCTAAATTGGAATCGTGAAGGGGAACTGAAAAGAGGAAGACTGAGAAACACATTGTTTCGAGAACTGTAATCAGATATTGAAAGAACGAACGGCGACGTTAATAAGTAGGTAAGTCTTTCGCAGTCTAATTATTTGTTGGACAGATTAACAACAGAGGAAGCATGTTTGTTTAACCTCGCATACATAATTTCACTCTTTACTTGTATTAGATACAAAGTGACTAGTTGCTCATTTCTTCGTTAAAGCAGAAAATTGTCTCAAAATATGTTAATTTCTATGGTTCTTTGTGCTCTCACTTTTTATTTGAAACAATCACAAGTTCCGTTAACACTTAAAGCCATTTTGAAGACAGAAAATATCAATCCACTTGGTGTTGTTTTACTTGTATCCTTCCATTGTTATTTAGGACCGCAATTGGTGTCTCATGTTGGCATATGTTCATTCTGTGCGGATCGCCTCAATACCGATCAATTGCAGTCCTAAATAACAATCAGAAGATACAAGTAAAACAACATCAAGTGAATTTAAATTTCACCCCACCGCACAAGTAGGTTCAGTAGCTAAGTGGATAAAGCGATGGCGTTTGAATTGAACGGTACAGGGTTCGAGTCCCGGAGTGAATATCAACTCTGTGATACGGGTATATCCAGTTTACCAGTCCTAAATAGGATGAAACGCGCTTCTTGGGTTTCATGGCTAACCTCTACCCATCTTCACGTAGAAAATATAGTTTAATTAACATCTGTCCTGTAATAACAAAGAGACTTTTAAAACCAGGTTAAATTAACTTTGAAAAACTGTAAAAATGTTACATTTAATAACATTTTGACCTTAAGAAGTTCAAAAATTCCGAGCTTCTTAATCTTGGGTTTACCTATCGCAGGCATATATATATATATATATATATATATCCATTAAACCATTAAGATTTCCATTTGCATTTTATGTCATCAGAATGCACCATCGTAATTTAGGTGATATGCTTCACAGTAACAAATATGGTCAAACATAACCCGGAAAATGAACACTTGAGTTTTTTCGCGATAGAAGTCAGGTTTTACAGATCACTACAACCATCTTTACCGAATATTTAACCTTCATTCATAAAGAGATGTACTATTTATAACATTTGAAATGTTGTAAAACATTTTTTTGGTTTAAAAGCTCTTTTTTGATCCAAAACATAAATCCGCTACTTTACGCCACTAATATTAAAAAAACTCCACTCCAAACAACAATCAGTTAACTATTTTAACGACTCAACGTACCCAAACAAGATCATGAATATAACAAGGACTAATAAATGACCTTAGTGGACTTATGAGTTGCTGTTGAAATCCATAACAGTTACACTGGAAAACGAAAGCAAAGAAGAAGTTTGAAGATGGCTAAACTTTAATCTTCGAGATTTGTCAGTAATAGGCATTTAATAAACAATATTAAAATCATTGAAAACCTCAAATGTGAATGTAAATCGATACGTCTAATTTAACTCATGGACTAACATCAACAACATGCTGTGCCAAGATAATAAATGTAATAAAATAGACTTACTTATTTGTGTATTTGTCAATGTCGACCAGAATAATGATATGTTAACCGAGAAACATGGAGGCCCTTACTTCAACCTACAATACTACAACGTAGACCGCACCAATTTTTTAAAAGATAATTAACGAATAAATCTTCAGATAAAATTCAATAGACTATGCTATTATGTGTTGTCGTTGTCTGCACTTAAAAATAATGCTTTGATGACAGAGGTCCGGCCGGACCTCAGACCTGAACCTAATATCAGTTGATTTGTGATATTCCACGGATCTCTAGACTTTCTTTAAATTAACCTAATAAGGGAAAAGCAACACTCTCTTTGGTGATGGTCTAAATATCTGACTTTTCCATGAAAGACCTAAGTAACTTTGAAACCCCGAATGTTCATATAGTTTTTAACTGTCTGTTGTGTCTTCTGATCAGGTCGAGATATATCGATATATCTGGTGCAATTTTCAAACAAGTAAAAAATGGGTAGACATGTTGATTCATGCGGGAACTATGATCTATTGTAAAAAATTCTCTAATATAGCGATATCTGGTTCAACCTTTTAATGTGTGCACAACCAGTATTCTGACAAACCATAAAAACAATAACCAATGCTAAAGCGTCAAATACCAGCTTGAAAGAAAATGTAATAATAACAATATAAGAAATTCTAAAAACTTATGATGAATACTTTATCTAAAAGCAGTATTTCATCACTTTTATTTAGTCATATCATTATTGAACTGTTAGGAAATCCAAACTGGACCGTAGTTCATGAATTTGTTCTGTCAGTATAAAAGTTTCCCAGCCATAGCTTCACTTCCATCTTCTGATTTGATTGAGTTGCTATCCTACACTTATGAAGGTGTTTCATATAAAGGCGCTGTCAAACTCCGAATTTCCATGACATCTTTATTAACCTTACCTCTTATATCACGAAGGACAGCCCTGCCTTGATATGTAAAGAAGGAGGACTGAAGAAGTCAGTGGACAAAAAGTAACCTACTCAGTTCGCTTGGGAGCTCTTAGCTTACTGCCACTGCTAATTAAAGACATTAAGAGACCTGAACTACACTTACTGTTTTCTGTCAAATAGTTACGGTGGATGTAAATTAGGCTGTCTTGTTAACCAGTCAAAACATACAAACGTCGTTAGATCTTGTAAGTTACGAGGAAAGTCTATCGAATGCTAATACAACAAACCTAAGGATATCATTTGTGTCCCAACCTCAAATGGATGACGCGTAGACTTGAAATAAGTACCTACTAAACATATAGATTTCTACGTTACAGCTATATAGTTCAAAGATTTATTGACCTATCATTTCCTAGATTGGTAACTGGGGTTTCTGAAAACTTGGGTATAGTTTAAAAATATAGCTCAACAAATAAAACTGTATCCAGTGGGTCAAAAGACAAGATCATTTATCTAGATACAGAGCAACCAAATCGTGTAAAACTTACTGCACAGGTTTTCACTCGTTCTTTGAAAATTAATGAACTCATACACAAAAAGCGATGTGAAAAGAAGATGATTTTAACCTCAACCGTAGTTTTATAGAGATCGGCGGTATGAGAGAAAATGTATAGCTTGAAACTTGCGGACGACTCTAGTTGAATGTAATCACCCAATTGTCTTCGTCTTCTGTATATCGACTAAACCGATAGTACAACTTTGATTTAAGTAATCGAGCGCAAAATGTTCTAGAAGAATATATTACAAAGGTTCATTTATGACCAGACAGATGCTAGTAAATGGGAATGGATCGGGCCAGATCATTTATTTTAAGCGCGACTTGGATGTTTAAAGACAATAGATAATGAATGAAGTACATGGGCACACAGACAGGCCAAAATGATAATAGGGAAAACATTTGGGAATGATATATGAGTAGGTGCTGGTGAGTAATTGCATGGGTGAAGATGCCACAGGTATTCGTAGTCTGACAACGCTATAACCAGTAACACCTAATATGAATCGTAATCACCAAGTAAAATCAAAAGACAGAGGCGAGGAGGTTTGAAGATACATTTGATAGGCTATCAATATATCGAGGATCTCCTGATCTAATCTGGCTAGCGATTGCAGGGGATGTTGAGCACGGCGTTCCCACTCGTGATCTGGTGCGGGTGCGTGAACGAGCGCCTTCAGCTAGGTGAGTCCATTGAAACTAATGTGGTCAGCATCCAACGTCGAATACTTAAAGAGCTATTTATTTTGGGGATTTGTTTACCACTACAGATCACTCCCCTCATAGTGGGGTAGTGACGACCCGAAGACGTGGCCAGCCAGAAGTTCAAACCCAACGAGTTTGTCGTTGGTAAACACTCTTCTGATAGTTTGCTAGATTTAGCAGCGTCTGGTCGTCTTTCCTTACTATAATGGACCATGAATTACAATATAGTGAAAAAAATCATTTACAATGAAAATTTTGGTTCCTCGGAAACCTCATCGTACTTTTTATCGTCATTTCTGTCCGTCCTGTAAAAAAAAAGAATACGTAAGTGCATGTCGAAATGAACTCGTGCGCACGTTAACATACAAAGTGGGCAAAAAACGAAAATAAAATCATGTGCATGCGATAGTGTAAAAGCGACTTTAAGGAAATGGTATCTTTTAAAAAATTGTAATACAAATATATCAGCAAAACAATAAATATATATATATATATAAGCATATACAAATTGGCTGTTTTATGTCATATAAAATGTCATGGAAAATCGAGACAAGGCGAAGTGCTAACTAATGTCTTACGTGCAATAGTCGTTCAAATGTTCTGGGAATCTTACTCTTCTTCCAAAATGCGTCGTTTCAAGTTTATTTTCAAATACTCTCGAAGTATCAACGTGCGTGTTGGCTGTCAGTCGAGGTATCATGAGGGTAGTAGTCGTGTCTTTTGGTTGTATCGACATGGATAGTGTTTCCTTCTAGATACACTGATTTGATGCGGTCGATGCTGATGCTATCGTTAGTTCCGTTCTCATCGACTGTGTAGTACTTAGGTTCGCATTGAAGAACTTCAGAGGGTCCTTTGTATGCTGATTTGAGCGGTCGTCGATATGAGTCTCGACGTACGAAGACGTGTGTACTATATCGTAAGTCAGGTTGAACAAAAACATCCGTTGGTTGCGGTCGAGTGGAAACAGGTTTAACTGAACGCATCACGTTTGTAAGACTGCTCTTGTAGAAAGTCACACCCACGTTCATTGAAGAAGACGAAGGACCTACAAATTCTCCTGGAATTCTATGTGTCGTTCCATAAACGAGTTGAGCTGCAGTATATCCAATGTCAGCCTTCCCTGCATTACGAATACTCAGTAAGACGAGTGGAAGAGCGTCAGTCCACTGAGAAATGTTTGCAGTTGATGGTGAAGCTTTTAGTTGTCAATGAAAGCACTCTACCAACCCGTTTGCTTGTGGGTGGTAGGCAGTCGTTCGGGAACGAGTGATTCCCAATAGTGTGGTCAGACGACGAAAAAGTTCAGATTCGAACTGGAGTCCGCGATTTGTAGTGATAGTTGAAGGGTAGCCGAAGTTTGCCACCCATCGTTCCACGAAGACGCGAGCTACTGTTTCAGCAGTGATGTCCTTGATAAGTACTGCTTCTAGTCATCGAGTGAGACGGTCTACGCAGGTTAAGAGGTAAGAGCATCCATTGGAATCTGGTAAAGGTCCTACCAAATCCAGATAAACATGGTCGAGTTGAGCATCGGGAGTTTTAGACGAACCTAAGGGACATTTGTTGTGTCTAGTAACCTTAGATTTCTGGCAGCTTGCGCAGGAACATGCCCACTCTCTCACATCTTTATTCATACCAGGCTAGCAAAGCCGTTCTGTTATAAGCTTGACGGTTGCACGAACACCTTGATGAGGAATTTTGTGCAACGTATTGAAGACTTTGTGCCGGTGATGTTCCGGCACAATTGGGAGATCCCTACCTGTAGATGTGTCACAAAGTAAGGTTTCCTTACCTGTTTCCATCTGTTTAATGCGCAGCTTGAGGGTTGTTGATGATAACTCGTACTGAAGATCAGTGTCTTCTTCAAGCAACTGGGCGAGTTTAAGAAAATCGATTACTTGGAAACTGTTTAAGGAAGTTATTCGAGACAAGGCGTTTGCGACTTCATTGTTTGCTCCAGAAATGTGTTGAGTATCTGAAGTAAACTTTGAAACGTAGTCTAGTTGTCGAGAATCACATGGTGAGTACTTGTCTGAAGATGAGCTTAAAGAGAAGGTAAGAGGTTTATGATCAGTGAAAATGGTGAATTCTCGGCCTTCGATAAAGTGTTGAGAATGACGTATAGCACTATACATAGCTAGGAGTTCCCTACCGAGAGTGCTATACCTGGATTCGGTGTTTAGCAACCGTCTAGATAAAAATGCCAGAGGTTGCCAGGAGAAGTTAACCCACTGTTTATGGACTTCTCCAATTGCCGAGTCGGATGCGTCCGTGATGTCGTTCGACCCCAACAACACAATCCTCAAAGCTGAACCCGAGACTGCTGAAAATACAGATATTCAGCATTTGACGTGGAGAAAAACACAACGATGGAGAAGGCAGGAAAAAGTATCCAATCAATTAGAATTGGTAGGATAGTATGGCTCAAACCTGCAGTCATGATTCCTCTTATCCATATTAAATATATTGTTCTATCTCTAGCCTAAGCTTGTTCTCCATCATATATTGGTGATGGTTACGATGCACTGAGTTCGTGTAGACGATTATGTGACTTCCACGTAAAATCTTATAGATTAGGCAGTTACATCATGACAATCTACAACTTTAGGATTAGGTCTATTATTGGAGCAGTACTAATAACGAAGTAGACCATAATTCTACAACGTCTTCCGCTTCAATAAAAGCCCATTGTGAGCAATGTTTTCAAGGGCCTTACTAACATCAGTGTTGATAATATCTGCTTGTGCCTCATTATCGAGTGACTGTTAGGTTCTCTTTCACTACTAACAGATCTATCCTGGGTGAAAAACCTACTTCAGCTTGGGCGCCTGAGCAGTATTCATACCATCGCACGAATCTTATGACGAAGTGTGACGTGCATATATTTGGTGCCTCCTAGTACCAATGTTTATGCCTCTAAATAAATGATAAAATATTAATTTATGACAAATTCGTAATAATACTTAAGATGTTTGCTTCCGACAGCAACACTCATAAAGTCAAGCAGTCTGTAATCTGTTGAGTACTGCCTTGATCTTGTCTTGTAAAAAGGAATGACTATGGCGTCTTACTTGTCCCAAGAAAACTCTGGTTGGTTGGGTGACATTTCGATTTTTTACAGACAGCGACGAAACGTATATTAAGGATAATCTAGGGTACCTTTGTGCGGCCTAACTGTTAAGAAACCTATTTGTCTTTCAGATGCTGCTACGATAGCCAAGATAATAAGAGTTAAGCAGTAGTACTTTTATTGAACACGCGGCAGTTGTTTTATTGAGAATCACATCGTGGTAACTAAAATTTCACAAGTTCTTTATCAAAGTACGTCTCAAACATTTTAATTATTTGGAGAGTCTGAAGAGATAATAACTAATCATAATCCAACAACTCTGCTGTCCGAATACTTT